AATATATGTAGAGCACAACTAACAAGTATAGCAGCTAACAGAAGCAAATTGATTGAGTTTTCATAGACAATTATATTTAATTGTTTTTGCTAAAACTTTAAAAAAATATATTTATATGGAAATGTAATAAATAATAATAATTCTTGATGTGAAGATACTTAATAAATTTATATACCAATGTTATTTGACATTTTGCAAATTATGTTAGGGTGTTCACCGCACACCTCCGCACCTTAGAGCAATCGTCACTGGGAAGATCATATCAGTTTTATTAACTAATAAGCAATTCAATCAAACTAGACTTATTGAAAATCTTAAGAGAATTTCTTTATCGTAAAATTATCTTCTTTTTCATCACTCTTTTATTAAGATACATAAAATAAATATAAAAGATGTGAATTCAAGCTTATGTGGTCCGAATATCATATAAACATTTGAAGAGACTAACACTAAATCTGCTCTACTGAAGCGCAAAATGACTTGCATAACATATACTACTTTATTTTTAAAATTGATAAACGAGTGCTAAGTTTACACTCTTTCTGAGCATGGCTATAAATATAAAAAGAACTGTTTACTTCTCAACATTATGTAGTTAGCTACGCAGAGCACAGCTGTTGCTTTATTATAGACTAAAAAAATAAATTTTTATTTAATTTTATTAAATACGCAAACAATCAAAATGAGTGTAACTTATATTTTGCTATACTTGCTGATCGGCGTGTTATCGGTAGCATTTTATTTCGTACGAAAAACATTTAACTATTGGAAAGATCGTGGTATTCCATATGATGAGCCTCATCCCATATATGGCAGCTTCCGTGGGTTTCGTAAAGACCGCGTTATGCAAGATATTCATTTCGCTTTATATAAGAAATTCAAAGGCGTTGCACCATTCGTTGGCATATTTTTCTTTCAGCGGCCTACTGCTTTCATATTAGATAGGCAATTGGCAAAAAATATTCTAATCAAGGATTTCCCAGTATTTGCAGATCGTGGTGTTTACCATAATGAACGTGATGATCCATTAACTGGACATTTGTTTGCTTTAGATGGCGTAAAGTGGAAACAGCTGAGACAGAAACTATCACCCACTTTTACTTCTGGAAAAATGAAATTTATGTTTCCTACAGTAGTAAAGGTAGCGGAACAATTTGTTCACGTCCTGAATGATTTGTTGAAAGAAGGCAACAACTTTGACGTGAAAGAGTTATCAGCACGTTTTACTACCGATGTGATTGGCACTTGTGCATTTGGAATAGAATGCAATAGCTTAAAAGATCCAAATGCAGAATTTCGCACAATGGGTCGAAAGGCTTTCTATTTAACTAGACACAATGGCCCAGTAATGGCACTTATACAAAGTCACCCAAAATGGGCAAGGAAATTGGGTATGCGTATAGTACATCAAGATATTCACAATTTCTTCATGCGTATTGTGCACGAGACTGTAGAGTTGCGTGAGAGCCAAAATATAAAACGCAATGACTTCATGGACTTACTTATTGAATTGAAGAAGACTAAGTCTATTAAATTAGACAATGGAGAAGAACTCACTGGGCTTACTGTGAATGAAGTGGCAGCACAAGCGTTTGTATTTTTCTTGGCCGGTTTCGAAACTTCATCAACAGCAATGAGTTATACATTGTACGAACTAGCAAAGAATCAGGTAGTGCAGGATAAGTTAAGAAAAGAAGTAAATGAGGTGCTTGCAAAACATAATCAAGAATTTACTTATGAATGCATGAAGGAAATGCATTACTTGGATCAAGTTTTGTTTGGTAAGATCTTTTATGATTCAAACATTATATTATTTAATGTATATATTTTAAAAATAAATTTTAGAAATTTTACGTCTTTATACTATTGTTCCACATCTTATGAGGCAACCAACTAGAGATTATGTTGTACCTGGACATCCTAAACTGGTTATCGAAAAGGGTACATTTGTCATGATACCATCATCAGCATATCATCACGATCCGGAAGTATATCCAGAACCTGCTAAATTTGATCCTGATCGCTTTTCTCCAGAAAAAGTACAAGACCGAGACAATATTAATTGGTTACCGTTCGGTGATGGACCTCGTAATTGCATTGGTTTGAGATTTGGTAAAATGCAGGCACGTATCGGTTTAGCTTTATTGATGAAGAATTTCAAGTTCTCCGTTTGTGAAGAAACACAAATTCCAATAGTGTTTGATGTGAAATCATTTGTTTTAAGTGCCAAGGATGGCATTCATCTACGCGTAGAAAAAATATAAAATTTAAGTTTGTTTAATACTAATAATAATAAATACATATTCTAAAAGTGAAAGCAAATAAATCGGTGTATACATTTTTGTTATAAAGACTTTTTTCAATATTAATTTATTTGTCAATTTGCCGGTTCTTTAGTAAGTATTATCAGTGTTTTTAGTTCCTTAAAATAAATTTGATTAAAAATATGAAAGTCACTCAGTAAACTAAGTAGGAGACTTGCTGTTGGAGTGTTAAATATAAGTACACATTTTTAAGATAACGATTTGTGATATATCTGCAATTGGTAACTTAGTACCTTTTAAATTTAACAAACAAAATAAACTCTCAATCAATTCTCTCAAAGCCTCTAACGCACAAAAATGAGTACAAGTAACATAAACGGTATCACATTTCAATTAAGATAGTCATATAAGTTTTATAAATTTAAATGAGACCATTTGGTCTTTATTAATAAAATGAGAGAAGTTTAGGGAAGCAAACTAGACAGATATATAGCGTTTCTCAATTTAATACAAATAAGATATTTGAAAAGTAAGTACCGTGTTGGAAAGAAAAGTAATCTACAGACTGCCAAGACCATGAGCATTACTTAAAGTAAAATTTTTCGAAAACCTATATCGTGAAAAAGACTATTTCTAAACTGTGTTGGGTTTACATTGAAAGTATGGAATTCAACAAAATATATTCAATGCAGCATAAGTAATGGAAGTAATTTTATAAGATTTGTTTGGATCTGAGAACCTAAATAACTTTAATGCACAAACAATTAAAGCATTATTTGTATTAAGATAGAATAGAGTTGTATATTTTTACCCAAATTCTGTTAATGAGATGAGAATTTGAGAATTGAAACTATAAATTAAATTAATTTTTTTGTATGTGTGACTCAATCAAAATATTTAATTATGTTAGTAGTTAAGCCGGCATTGCTTTTAAGTCTTAACTTTTTCATACTAGTTTAAAAAAATTCAGTCCATGATAATTCTGCAAAGGATTCATTTGTAAAAAAATAAGTTAATATTGATGCAAATTTACAGATTAAAATTATAATAAATTTCATGAACCTATAACTTCCTCTATCGTAAAAAGCAGTGGCGTCGCTAGGCGTCAGCGATATAGGCGATGCATATTAAAAACAAAAACCCAACACACTAAGGTAATATAAAAATTTAAGTCGAATATTACTTATAGTTTTAATCTATTTGTTTTAGGTTAATAATATTTATATTTGTTTTAGGTAATATATTAATACGACAATATACAGTATATACACAATCTGAAGTAATATCATGCCTGTCGATTTCGAGCTATGTACTTAATCCTAAGAAAGGGAAATTTTATAGCGGATCAGCTGAATTTTTCGCAAATGCCACACTACTGTTAGAAGGACACATCTGTGTGTGTGAAGAAACTTTCTTCTTCAGCTTCAAAAAAAACCACTTATTATAAATATTTGTACTTTTTGATATACAACTATTTGTAAGATATAACTGCAAACATTGTATAAATTTCTCAAAGGTCACACTAATCTGTAATTACATTCCAGTCATAAAAGTTAAAAACTTTTCAGATTTTTTTTACATTATGTGTGCTTTATCTTTAATATAAAATAAAAAAATACTGAAATGGGAATTAAATGTCTATTTAGGAAACTAAATGTCTATTTAGGAAACTAAATGTAGAGTTTAAAAGCATGACAACTCATATTAGAGATAAATCTGATCTAAATCTGTGATATTAAAGCATTTTTTATTGCTATGTAATAAAAAATATCAGTTCCAAATTACTCATGCTAGAATACATATAGTAATTGCGAATAAGTCTACATAAGTTATTTTTATTCTGAAATATCATTCTAAACTGTTAGTTAGTACGTATAATAAAAATCATAATCACAAAGAAACTTTTATATACTTTATGATATTGAGTCCGAAGCTAAATACACAAAAAAAATTTTGTTCTGATAATTAAACGCAGAGTCACACCCTATACTGTTGTTTCACTTTCGTGCACACTGCATAACTCCTGGTAGTAATAATTTATCTGTTCCAACTAACAAACTGATTTCATTAGACAACTTAGTAAAGATATATCTTGAGGTTTGGGTATATACTGTTGTGATCATTTTCAGCGTATAGATCTATTCAATTCATGAACATATTATTTCCCCAAATCTCTATTGCGATCGCGCGTTTAGATTATTTCTAATAAGAGTAAAATAATGCAATATATAAACATATTCCACCATAATAATGAGGCTCATTTTTAGTGTGCAAATAATCTGGAAACCAATCCATTTTATATAACATAACATAATGCCTCTAACAGTACATACGAGTTAACTACCATATTGACGGTAACGGTTAATACGAGTTAACAGTTTGAATATACGTAATCTAATGGATATAAGGAAGATGATATCAGCTTTCTTTACTGGTGAGCAATTCAATTAGACTAGACGTACTAGAAGTCAAATAGAATTTTTTGATCGTGTTTTTTTTTAATACTCTTTTAATAAGATAAATGAGATCAAAAATAAAAACGTGAAATGAACTTTTGTTATCATTTTAACGTAAACTCAAACTTATGTGGTAAGAATATAAACAGAATGACTTGCATTATAAATACTTTTTCATTTTTGTTAAAATGATAAACAAATGCTGATTTTTTCTTTCCCAGCATGGCTATAAATATAAAAAGAACTGTTTACTTCTCAACATTATGTAGTTAGCTACGCAGAGCACAGCTGTTGCTTTATTATAGACTAAAAAAATAATAAATTTTTATTTAATATTATTAAATACGCACACAATCAAAATGAGTGTAACTTATATTTTGCTATACTTGCTGATCGGCGTGTTATCGGTAGCATTTTATTTTGTACGAAGAAAATTTAATTATTGGAAAGATCGTGGTATACCATACGATGAGCCTCATCCCATATATGGCAGCTTCCGTAATTTTCGCAAAAATTGTATTATACAGGACGTACATTTCGCTTTATATAAGAAATTCAAAGGCGTTGCACCATTCGTTGGCATATTCTTCTTTCAGCGGCCTACTGCTTATATATTAGATAGGCAATTGGCAAAAAATATTCTAATCAAGGATTTTCCAGTATTTGCAGATCGTGGTGGTTTCTATAATGAACGTGATGATCCATTAAGTGCACATTTATTTGCTTTAGATGGCGTAAAATGGAAACACCTGAGACAGAAACTATCACCCACATTTACTTCTGGAAAAATGAAATTCATGTTTCCTACAGTAGTAAAGGTAGCGGAACAATTTGTTCACGTCCTGAATGATTTGTTGAAAGATGGCAACAACTTTGACGTGAAAGAGTTATCAGCACGTTTTACTACCGATGTGATTGGCACTTGTGCATTTGGAATTGAATGCAATAGCTTAAAAGATCCAAATGCAGAATTTCGTACAATGGGTCGAAATGCTTTGTCTTTAACTAGGCACAGTGCTCCGATTATGGCACTTATACAAAGTCACCCAAAATGGGCAAGGAAATTGGGTATGCGTAAAGTACATCAAGATATTCACAATTTCTTCATGCGTATTGTGCACGAGACTGTAGAGTTGCGTGAGAGCCAAAATATAAAACGCAATGACTTCATGGACTTACTTATTGAATTGAAGAAGACTAAGTCTATTAAATTAGACAATGGAGAAGAACTCACTGGGCTTACTGTGAATGAAGTGGCAGCACAAGCGTTTGTATTTTTCTTGGCCGGTTTCGAAACTTCATCAACAGCAATGAGTTATACATTGTACGAACTAGCAAAGAATCAGGTAGTGCAGGATAAGTTAAGAAAAGAAGTAAATGAGGTGCTTGCAAAACATAATCAAGAATTTACTTATGAATGCATGAAGGAAATGCATTACTTGGATCAAGTTTTGTTTGGTAAGATCTTTTATGATTCAAACATTATATTATTTAATGTATATATTTTAAAAATAAATTTTAGAAATTTTACGTCTTTATACTATTGTTCCACATCTTATGAGGCAACCAACTAGAGATTATGTTGTACCTGGACATCCTAAACTGGTTATCGAAAAGGGTACGTTTGTCATGATACCATCATCAGCATATCATCACGATCCGCAAGTATACCCAGAACCTGCTAAATTTGATCCTGATCGCTTTTCTCCAGAAAAAGTGCAAGACCGAGACAACATTAATTGGTTACCGTTCGGTGATGGACCTCGTAATTGCATTGGTTTGAGATTTGGTAAAATGCAGGCACGTATCGGTTTAGCTTTATTGATGAAGAATTTCAAATTCTCCGTTTGTGAAGAAACACAAATTCCAATAGTGTTTGATGTGACATCATTTGTTTTAAGTGCCAAGGATGGCATTCATCTACGCGTAGAAAAAATATAAAATTTAAATTTTTTTAATACAAGAGATTAAGATAAAAGGACCAGAAAAAGCTTTGTTTTAGATTAAATAAACCTCTATTTGTTAATAGATAAAAACACAAATTTGATAAAAAAAATAAAAGTCACCCAGCGAACTATGTAGGAGACTTGCTGTTGGACTATTATATATAAATATATCTGCGATAACGATTTGTGATATCTCTGCAATTAGTAACAGTAATAATTCTGAAGTCTAATAAAACAAGCAATCTCTTAAAACCTTTCACACAAAAAAATTAGTACTAAGATTGGAGAGGAAACCGATATCCCATTTGATATAAGATAGTCGTATAAATTCTATTAATTAAAATGAGAGCATTTGGTCTTTATTGAACAATATTTGTAATTATTATTATTATTATTAGTTATTATTAGTCTTCATTAAATACAAATGAGGTGTTAAAATATTGAGCATCGGTAAGAAATGTAATGTAGAGTTTGCTAAGACTAAAAGTATTACTTATAGTAAAAATTTTCAAAAAGGCAGATCGTATTAATACTATTTCTGAAGGCAATGTAAATATATCAACATTATGGAAAGTTTTCATGTTTAATCATTAGTTAAAGTGTATTTATTTTACAATAGAAGGTATGGAATTCAACTAAAAAAATTCAAATCAGCATTTTAGTAATGAAAGTAATCACACGTTTAGTTAGATATGTTTGGCGCTGATTCCGCAGAGGACTTACTTTGATGGACTAACAAGAAAAGCATTAGCGTTCTCTATGATAGTATAGATAGTATATACTATTATATTTTATCAAAAATTTTACAGTTGCACCCACTGATTTACTTATTTTAATTAATTATCTCAATAAATACCAATAATTTCATCAGTAGTTATGTCGGATAATCATTGCTAAAAAACTTAAATACTGGCTTATAATAATTCCAAAATGGATTTATCATATAACTATTTAAATAATCTTACAAATATGATAACTTAATTATTAAGTTTAAAATTATACTTTTTATAATAATAGAGACTATTATTATAGTTATTATATAACTTTTTAATAATAAGAGATGTATATTTTTTTTTGTGTTTGTGGTGATAAGGTGGAATGCTTTATGCACCGTCAGACCGACCGTCATCGAAATGGTGTGACCGACTCCCTAACATTAATATGTTTGATAAGGACTAAAATTTTCCCTCTTTGGCGATAATTATTTCCCGTCGGAACCGCTTTCGCATTACTTCGAGAGGGTCTCTTTTATGTTGGCATTTCAAGCCATGCTTTGTGATTTTTGATCTGCATTTAGACCTCAATTTTTTCGTCACATTATATTGATAGCTGCACAATTTATTAGATTAATTTTTGATTCTCCCTTCTAGGTATAATTTCTTCACTTTGAGGTCTTGACTCACATATGACTATCGTTCGCCAGCTTTCAGGGTTCGTGATCGTGTTTTAAAGCAATTAATAATATATGGTTAATATCAGACCTGAAATTATTAGACTTGATATCAAATAATAAAACATTTTGTAAGTCATTGTTTAGTGTGCTGCGTATTCTGATTGTGTTTATTAGAATGATTATGAATAAAAAATATAGATTAAAAAACAAAATAATCTTGCACATTAAAATGGGGTGTCATATTAAAGAGCTAAGTCATCTAAGATATTTTTTAAGTCAGCAAAACTCTCTGAGTTCTATAGAGTATATAAATAGTCAAATATTTAAGTGAGAATTTTCATTCACAAGTTGTTGGTGTGTATGAATAACAATAAAATAATTAATAAACAAATGCGAATTTAATAATAAGAAGAAATATTAATAATCTTTTAGAATATATTCAGTTTGAGAACTTAACAAAATTATTTAAATTTTTATTAAATTAATCACTTTGAAGTTACGCACATGCTAAATTAGGGGAAAAACAGTTCAAGTACACAAATAATTGATAACAAAGTTAAGTGGGTATCAAATTATCGATTTTTTCTCTTATCGTACTCAGTCATAACAAATTTCGACGTGTCGAAAATATATGAGAACTAGAGAGCTAAAATATATAAAGAAATATATTTAGAGAACTTGTTCAGTTTTGTAGAAAATATCATGCGAACAATTTAAAATATTGATGTTAGCAGGAAAGAATTCAAGAGTTGTGAAATAAAAATGGAACTGACAGCTGTACTTTTATATATACTACTTGGGTTAGTTACGATTGGTTTCTACTTTTACCGAAAGAATTTAAATTATTGGAAAGATCGTGGAATACCATGTGCTGAGGCTCATCCCATTTATGGCAGCGTGCGTGGCATTATAAAAACTCGTATCATTCAAGATATATTCGGCGAGCTTTATACGAAGTATAAAAATGTTGGACCATTCGTTGGCATACATTTTTTCCAACGACCTGCAGCATTCGTGGTAGATCCTATGCTAGCAAAGCGCATACTCATAAAAGATTTTTCTAATTTCCCTGAACGCGGTACTTACCACAACGAAGAAGACGATCCATTGACTGGCCACTTATTTGCTTTGGATGGTGCAAAATGGAAGCCATTGAGACAAAAATTATCGCCTACCTTTACTTCAGGAAAAATGAAATTTATGTTTCCTACTGTTGTGAATGTGGGAGAACAATTTATTGACGTACTTGGTGAAATGGTGAAAAGTGAACACAACTTTGATGTCAGAGAGCTTTGTGCGCGATTCACCACAGATGTAATAGGAACTTGTGCATTTGGTATAGAATGCAACAGCCTTAAGGATCCAAATGCAGAGTTCCGTTGTTGGGGTCGTAAAGCATTAACTCTTAACAGACATGGAGCTTTTATAAGTGGCTTAATTGAAAGTTTTCCGAAATTAGCACGAAAACTACGTATGAAAATAATACACAACGAAATTAATGACTTCTTCATGCGAATTGTACACGAAACCGTTGAGCTGCGTGAAAGGAAAAACATAAAACGTAATGATTTTATGGATTTATTAGTAGAATTGAAAAAAACGAAGACGATTAAATTGGAAAATGGTGAGGTGCTTACAGGCCTAACAATGAATGAGGTAGCTGCTCAAGCATTTGTTTTTTTTCTCGCCGGCTTTGAAACTTCTTCCTCTACTATGAGCTTTGCTTTGTATGAGTTGGCACAGCATGAAGAAATACAAAATAAAATGAGAGAGGAAGTCACAGAGGTCCTTGCAAAACATAACAATCAATTAAGTTATGAATGTATAAAAGAATTAACTTATGTAGATCAAGTAATAAGTGGTGAGTTTCAAAATAGTTTGTAGATAAATATAAATGGTGTGATTCTTAGTTTTCTTCTTTTCTAGAAACTTTGCGTCATTACACAATTGTGCCTTTCTTGCAACGTCAGGCTGAAAATGAATATATCGTACCAGATAATCCAAAATTTATTATTGAGAAAGGTGGTCTTGTAATTATACCATCGTCATCTTTTCATCATGATCCCGAATTATATCCAGAACCAAATAAATTTAACCCGGATCGTTTCTCCCCAGATATGGTAAGCGAACGCGACAGTATTAATTGGTTGGCTTTTGGAGAAGGCCCACGTAACTGCATTGGTTTGCGGTTCGGTAAAATGCAAGCGCGCATAGGTCTTGCTTTACTTATTAAAAATTTTAAGTTTTCTATATGCGAAGATACAAAAATTCCTATAGTTTATGAAGCAGAATCATTCCTTTTATGTCCAAAAGGTGGTATTAATTTGCGCATCGAAAAAATTTAATTGGATAAATTATTAATTAATTGGAATAAATTATTTGTGTTTTGTAAAATATTAAGAGAATTGTCTCTTATAAAGGGGTTGATGCAATAGGTTTTTAAGAGAAAGCGATATATGTAATAAATTCTTTTGATAAAAATATATTTTTTTTAATAAAAAGATGTGTACATTTTTGTATTTTAAACGTAGATTGAGTTAGTAGCATCAAAAGTATTACATATTTCTAATGCTATGTTTTATAAACATGTGAAAATATTGTTAGAAAATATTATTGTGAAAATAGACATGTTGTAATATATATCCATTTCCATTGGATCTATGCAACTAGTTGCATATCTAATAAAATATTTTGCCTATTAAATCAAAATTAAATGAGTTTCTTGAGGTAGTAAATTTGTAGTAATGAGTGACGCCAGATTGTTCGTAACCTTTTTCCATCATCATTATTATTTTATGAAATTACGTATCTAACTAAAAAGATATAAATGCATTTTTTTAAAAAAAACTTCTTTATATTCCTTTTAAAATTTAAATTAAAATAAAAACTATTTAAAAACTATTCTTACAGTAGCTATAAACTATTAAAAATGAACAATTTGGACTGCTTTGGATATTCACAGATCTTGTTTATTGTTATATCATATAATAAAATTTAAATTGATATATTATATGTTCATTTGCTCTAATTTTATTAATTAAAATAATTTTATTAATAAGTTATAAGGTCATCGCTTAAGTTATTTCTTTTCTCAAAAATTTTGATAAAATTCATGCAATTTATATTAATTGTAAATTATATTAAATGAGAGCAAAATATAGCGGAGAAAAAAAATTGCAACTTTAAAATTTAATAATAAATTTAGTATAGTACATTAAATACTAACAGTCATTATACAGTTAGAACTACTAACTTTTAATTAATTTAAAGCAAAAAAAAACCGACTGAATCGATTATTTAACGCATCTGTGTACGAATTGCTTTGAATAAGTAGCTTTGCTAGAAATGTATCTAGAAACATTTTTCTGCTCAGTTAGTGAGTATCAACCGTCGTGCACACAAGTAAAAATGTCTGGTTTCACTATATTTCTCTGCATTTTAGTCGGCATAGTAACGATTGTTTATATTTGGCTAAAAAGACAACTCAGCTACTGGCAGAAATTAGGTATACCTTGCGAAGAGCCAAGTCTATTTACTGGAAATTTTATTGGATTACGTACGAAATATTCCCTTACTGAACTTTTTGTGAATTACTATAACAAATTCAAGGGAAGTGGACCATTTGCTGGATTTTATTGGTTTCAGAATCCTGTCTTGATTATTTTAGATACTCAACTCATTAAAAATATACTTATAAAGGATTTTAATAAATTTACGGATCGAGGATTTTATTCAAATGAAAAAGTTGACCCACTTACAGGTCAATTATTTCTTTTGGATGGACAAAAATGGCGCAGTATGCGGAATAAATTGTCTCCTACATTTACGTCGGGCAAAATGAAATTTATGTTTCCCACCATCATCAAAGTAGGCGAGGATTTCCTAAATGTTTTAAATGAATTGGTAGATCAAAATGCCAAAGTCGACATAAAAGAACTATTAGCGCGTTTTACTATTGATATTATTGGAACCTGTGCCTTTGGTCTTAACATTAGCAGTCTAAGAGATCCAAATACGGAATTTCTTGTAATGGGGCAAAGGGGATTAGTCGAAACTAGATATGGGTTCTTTGGTACTGCACTGACAAGTACTTTTCCTGATTTAGCACGCAAACTTCACGTAAAGCAGACACCAGCCGATATTGAAACATTTTTTTTACGTATATTCCGTGAAACGGTTGAGTACAGAGAAAAGAATAATATCAGACGCAATGATTTCATGGACTTGTTAATTGATCTAAAAAATAATAAATCACTTTTATCTGAGGATGGTGAAACGTTGACAAATTTAACAGTAGAACAGTTAGCAGCACAAGCATTTAGTTTTTTCAGTGCTGGTTTCGAAAGCTCCTCTATATCCATGAGTTTTGCACTTTATGCTTTAGCAACACATGAAGATATACAAGATAAAGTGAGAAAAGAGATTGAAACAGTTTTTATAGCGCATGGACATGAGTTCATATACGATTGTTTGATGGATATGAAGTACTTGGGGCAAGTTATATTAGGTAAGATCATTTCTTAGAATTTAAAAATACGTGAAGATAATTTAACAAAAAATTTTTGTCACAGAAACTCTACGACTCTATACCGTAGTTCCAGTTATAAATCGGAAATGCTTGGAAGATTATGTGGTTGAAGATAATAGCAAATATGTTATTAAAAAAGGCACGTCTATTTTTATACCAACTGCTGGTATACATCTTGATGAAAAATATTATCCTAATCCCAATGTCTTTAATCCGGATAATTTCTCATCTGAAAGAGTAAACACACGTGATCATGGAGAGTTTCTTGCGTTTGGAGAGGGACCACGTAACTGCATTGGTTTCCGTTTTGGTCTTATGCAAATCAAAATTGGATTGGCTCTAATTCTTAAGAATTACAAAGTTAGAGTGTGTAGTGAGACGCAAGTACCTTTGAAATTTGATAAGAAAGCGTTTTTCACAAAGGCCGAAGGCAGCATAATACTTAAGTTCGAAAGGATTTAAACTTAATGTTTTAAAAATAATAGCCAACTCTTTTCTTCTTCTTTTTGAAATAAATAATAATATTATTTCTAATAAATTGCACAAATATTATAATATTTATTTAATTATTAATTTAATTTTATTAAAAAATTTAATGATTAATAATTACCAAGTTTAACTTGTATTCATTAATGTGGGAAGTCTAATTTTCCTTTTCAGTTTCAGTTTAAATATTTTAAAGTAATTTTAAACCAGAAAAAAAATTATTTCTATTATTATTTTATTCTTATAGAGACAGAATTCCAGCATTTACACGCTTTATTGAATTTTAATTTTACTTTCGAAGTGGGCGCAGCTTTCTAATTGTTCGGTTCACTACTGAACTGGCGTTGACGTTGGCTGTGATGATCTAATAAAAGACAATATCCACTTCAAATCTATTTTACATATATATCTTGTGCGGTATGTATAAGCGAAACTTTTGAATTGTTTACAATTATCGTTTAATTGAAAAAAATATATATATCACAAAAATTTTTCATCTTACGTCCTAATTTTTGGTCACTGTTTCATGTCAGTACGTATTATAAACATAAAATGGTGATTTTTTTAAATTTCATATCTATCTGCATAATGAGTACTGCAATACAAAGTTAGTTCATTTATAAGACTTTTACTTTTGAGTAATTGAGACAACAGGAATAGGAACACAGGAATATAGACAACATTCGACTGACTAATACTGGAGCTGTATAGTGATCACACAGTAAATAACTACAAAATGTATGAAAAGATTGACAGTACCCAGTATAAGAAATCTTATGTATTCTGGGTACCTCAACACTCCTGTACTAGAGTGAAATTTAATGCCAGCTGAACCAGATACTCTCATCTGATATTAAAATATATCGAAATAGGATTTTTGTATTTTATAACGGAAGGATTTATGTATTTCATAAGAAGGTATGTTATATGTATCTATTATATGGTATACTTGGATCATTTGTAAAACAAAGAAAGAATCTGTTTAAAATTTTTTACTAAAATCGGTATGAATATAGATATAAAATTACTTTGGTTATACAACAAACTTTTACTAACTATAAGTTTTGAACCATCGTTTCTCAATAGAGGTATAATTTAATTGTTAACTAAAAAGACGCACAGTGTGCCAAAACAGAAATTAATCGATCAAAATTCTATATTTTCTCTACCGGTAGTGATATTGAAATTCAATTTTCCGAAAACTTTGAGTTTGAGATGGCCTTTCTTTTGAATTGTGCCCAATCGTGTAATTGGGCACCTTCGTTGTGCAATACCTTTGTTGTTTTGCAACCGATTTGCTTGAAATTTAAAACATAAAAAATAAAAAATATATTATGACTGATTACATTCGTTGTTGAAATAAATGAAATAAATGTTGAAATAAAAGAGGTTTAAGTGCACAGGCTATTAGCAGGAAAAATTTTTTCAAACAACTCGGATACCTTTTTTGGGTATCGTAGATAGAATTGACAAAGGCCATAAAAAAGTCAGCCGCTTTTTGTGCAATTTCACCTATAAAATTTTATTGATAATTAAAATTGAAATTTTTTTGAAACACACAATGAATAACAATATCCTAAGCTTTAAAAAAGTTTTTGAGGTAACTAATAAAATGTAAAAATGGACCATTTTTGATCCTAACTTTGGAAGGGCGTACCAAAAACTGGTTAAGAAGCACTGTTTCAAACTAATTGCATTCATCCTAACTTTATTTTTTATTTATTTTTATTTTATTTTATTTTATTTTATAAGCATAATAGCAATAGTATGCATATTATAGAGCATAGAGCTATAACAACAGGGCCTTAAGCTACTAAATTTACATTATACATCGATTGTAACTTATAAAAATAATGTTATAAAAATAATAAAGAATTGTTATACTTGATCGTATATTTTAATCATTTTAAAAAAATTAATTGTTTTCCCTGTGGATTTCAATATTGAGATATTAGCTATGTTATTGTGTCTATGATGGGAGAAGTGAGGACAAGTGATAAAGATATAAGCAATTGACGTAGTAGGGTCTGTGTTACAAAACTGACTTCTGGATGAGAGAGAATTATCAAAAAGATGTTTGTATCTAAAGTAACTATGTCTGAGTTCCTGAGTTGCAGGCGAATAAATATAGAGAGCTCCGTGAGGATATTTAACTGCATCTTTGGCGGCACATCTTCGTTTCCGTCATTCCAAATTTATTTCATGTTTTCACAACAATTTGAAGGTTTATCAAAAATTGATATACATAATGTACTAACGATTTTCATCAATATTTCATTACTGCAATATTTGCTATATTAAAAAGAATGACAAGTCTAAGATTTGATTGTACTGTATTGATTATCTAAAAATAATTACAATTGTACAAATCAAAATAAACTTAATTGCGATGTAAACACTGTATTGTAGTCTCAAGAAGTTAGTTAATTCATTAGGGTCGTTCTAACTTATCATTAATACTATTGCAATCACAGTAAACAAATGCAATTAAATAATAAAAAATGTTAATAAACGTAGTAAAGCACACTTTTTTCATACACAACTTTTTTTCATGTGTATTCGCAAATTGTATTTACTTACATTCATTCATTAATGACGTCACGTGGTAATATCAACTCCATTTATTTATTTTTTTTTTTACTTTAAAACGCAATAAAGCAAAACAATAACAAAATAAATAACAAATACAAATTAAACCAAATACAGTCAAACCTCTTTATAACGAAGTCGTTGGTACATGTGAAAAACTTTGTTATAGAGAGGTCTTCGCTTTAAAGAGGTCTTCGCTATAGAGCGGTTTGACTGTAGTAATGAAATGAAATCGAAAATGAAGTAACAGCTGGAGAACCAAACTAAGAGAATGAGCACAAAAAATGCTTAAATGAAAACAAAATAGAAAATAAATGAAAGAGAAAGCGCTATCGAGAGTAGATGGCGTAATATATTTGTTTACATTTTCCATTTTTTTTTGCGCGTTCACACGAGTTAGGAATTTTAAGAACTAAACTCACAGTTTTCTCGCTTCACGGATTTGTTATTATTTATAGTATATATAATAAAATATCAATATATAAAGCAGGTTTCTTAACATATTAGCATATATGCTTTTAAATATACTTTTCATACACATATATCAATGAAGTGGTTTCAAATAAATACATAAACATTCTATAAATAAGACAAATAGTTTTAAAAATTTATTTTAAATTAAATATATAATAATATTTAATTAAATAATAAGAAAATAATATATATGTTACATTTTTCATTTTTATGTTTTATAAAATGAACTTGTTTTTTTAATTATCGATAAGAATATTTTATTTCGTAACCTCTAGTGACTTCTAGTGTATAATTAAACAATTCTTACGGCCCCGAACAGTATAATCAGTTTTGGTTATCATCCAAATTAATTACAAAGAACCACATATCTTAACATTTCAATTAAGTGTTCATTTAAAATTTTCATTTTGGAGTCTAGTTGGATAAAAATATATTATATAAAAATAATTTATTAAAAAGAAGCAATAAATATAGGAGTAAGTACGTTCCGATAAAGGGTATAGTGCAATAGAAAATTAAACAAAATATCTTATTGTCCAGAATTTGTTTTCTTCAACATTTCGAAACAGATATAGACTAACTATATATTATGGTTACTATATTCGAGTTGACGTCAATTAGCAATCTATTTTGTTGATGGACCAGTTAATGTTTTACTTGATTTAAATAGGCTTAAATTTTTAGTTGCTGTGCTAATTTGATTGTGTCTCTTTAATGTACCTATTTGTATCCTTTTACCTTTCTAGATGTTATATCAAAGTTATCGATACTACTATACTACTAAATATATTAATATTAAAATGTCAAATTTTAAGTACCACCATCTTTCACAATGACGTTAATTTCTGTGATCACCGTAATGGGAAACATTTTATTTCTACTGAGATAAACTTGTTGTTCCTGGCATAATGCTTGAAATCTATAATAAAACCGATGAAATTATATATCTGTAGATCTGATGATATGCAGCTTTAGCTAAAAAACTTTCACGAGGAATCGTCGAATAATGTGTTAAATAGCAAAACGATACCAATACGAGTTAAAGTTTATCGTAATACCAATTGAAAACAGTAATTTTCTTCAATAACCACTGTCATTTACCTACAATGACAAAGAGAAAAACAAATGTTGACTCTAGGAAATTATTTTTTCTTTTATTTCCTTCGTCCAAAAACTAAATCTAAATCTATTGCACAGTGTCAAAATTCTAAGATTGAGATGAATAAGATTTTTTCAAACCAATAATTATGGAGGGTGACCAAGTGCTCCAGTATCAATGCTGAAATAAACAAAAGCAAATACAGTTAATAGAAGTATTTAGCTGTTATCATTATTTTCTTAAAGCATCAATCCATAAACTTTCTTTACTTTTTATTTTTCTTTTCTTTCTTTTATTCGTATACTTGATTGGATATCGGCGATATGTTTTTGCATCTAAAATGTAAAACCCATTTTGTAATAATAGTTGGAATATAGGTGAACACTATAGTTCACTTTTTTTTGGTCATCTGATTTATAAATTTGTTCACTGATAGTCCCTAGGGACTGTATTATATTTATATGCAAACAGTTTTGTTAATAAATATTTTACAGAAATAAACATATGTGTTTTTTCGTTTTTATTCTGGTATCGGGCCAAAGTTTGGAGTGCTTTTGAATCCTCAAGAATTATGTTTCTTATGGTCAAATTGTATGAACCTTTGATAACCAAAAATTTCAATGTTTCCTTCTTAAAAAATAATGTATCGATTGAAAAGTATCTATGAGTCAACCATTCTTTCAGTTATTACATCAGGTAATTTCTCCAGATATTTCGATGAGCGTCTTCAGCTCTGAATACCATCTCGTCTTATGTTAATAAGACTGTATACTAAGTTACAGAAGATTTATCTGTTTTGTTTACTTTTAGCTCAATTCGGTGGTCAACATATACTATAAAATATATATTTGTTCCACGTAAATTAGCATATCATTCAAAAGACTTTTTAAAAAAATGTTATCTATCGTATTTAGACAGTTTTGTATATTTTGGTTTAATGTAATTACCTATTGAAAAACGTATAATTGGACTGATAAGATTTTTAAAATAATTTCATTTATGCGTTTTTTTGCGAAATAATTTTGGACTTTTTTCTCCACTTACTAGCACATCTGGCAGTTTTTAACGTCAATAGTTTAAATTGATAAGAAATTTTAATGAATATTAGAATTTCAAAGGAAAAAATAACACAGATAAATATAATTTAGCGTTTTTGCTATAATTTCCAGTGACTTTGCTAAAACAAGCAAGTACACTGCTTAACAGGTATTTCGGCGTTGTTTAGATATTTGATATCAATTATGTTTTTCTATATATAAAAATGCTAGTCACCGAAAGTCACTCACATCATCAAATATTTTTATTATAAAAATTAGGCAAAAGTCGTCGACGAGTTAGTTTATTCATGTTGTTTGCTGAGTAGAGACGATTCGCAATGTCGGTGTGCTCAGTATTGATTTATGGCTTAATTGGCTTAATTCTCTACTGTCTTCATTTGATGAAGAAGCGTCTGAATTACTGGCAGTCGCGGGGTATTGCTTGTGAAGAACCGCATTTCATTTTCGGAAATTTGCATGGAATACGCAAAACACGATCCTTCAACGATGTTTGGACACATTATTATCAAAAATTCAAAGGCACTGGACCATTTGCTGGATTTTATTGGTTCCAAAAACCAGCAGTATTTGTTCTAGATACAACACTTGCTAAAAATATACTCATTAAAGATTTTGCAAAATTCACAGATAGAGGATTTTACTCAAATGAAAAAGATGATCCGCTTACCGGTCAACTGTTTCTCTTGGATGGACATAAGTGGCGCAGAATGCGTAATAAATTATCGCCAACTTTTACCTCGGGTAAAATGAAGTTTATGTTTCCAACAGTAGTCAAAGTTGGTGAGGAATTTATAAATGTCTTTGGTGGTATGGTAAATAAAAGTGCTGTTATTGAGGTTAAGGAGTTACTTGCTCGTTTTACAATGGATGTAATTGGTACTTGTGCATTTGGCATTGATTGTTGTAGTTTACGTGATCCAAAGGCAGAAATATATATAATGGGTAAAAGAAGTTTGACTGATACCCGACATGGTAGTATAGGGATTGCTTTTGTCTCGAGTTTTCCGGAATTGGCACAAAAACTAGGCATGAAACAAACCCCCACACACATTGAGGAATTTTTCATGCGGATTGTACGCGAAACAGTTGACCATCGTGAGAGAAATAATATTCGACGAAACGATTTCATGGACATGTTGATTGATATGAAGAATAACAAGTTACTAAAATCAGAAGATGGAGAACATATGTCGAACTTAACTATAGAAGAGCTTACTGCACAAGCTTTTGTATTCTTCGCAGCAGGTTTTGAAACGTCTTCAACAACAATGGGATTTGCTTTGTTCGAACTTGCACAAAATCAGGATATTCAAGAAAAACTAAGAACTGAAGTTAGAAATGTTTTTTCAAAGTATAACGACCAATTTAGTTATGAATGCATGAAAGATATGCATTACCTTGATCAGGTTATATCAGGTAAGTTGTTGCCATAAGAAAAATGATTTCTATAATAGTTAAAATCTTTTTAATTGCCATAGAAACCCTACGTTTGTATACAGTGTTACCAGTATTGAATCGCAAAAGCTTGGAAGATTATGTAGTGCCTGATAATCCGAAATATGTTATTAAGAAAGGCACTCCTATACTCATACCAGCCGGAGCTATACATCGCGATGAAAAATATTATCCAAATCCAAATCAGTTCAATCCAGATAATTTTTCACCTGATAAAGTAAAAGAGCGTGACACAGTAGAGTGGCTACCTTTTGGTGATGGTCCACGTAACTGTATTGGAATGCGTTTTGGTCAAATGCAGTCCCGTATTGGTCTTGCTTATTTGTTAAGAGACTTTAGATTTTCTGTGTGCAAGGAGACTATCATACCGATGAAATACGACAAGAAATCTTTCCTGATTAGTTCCGAGGGAGGCATTTATCTAAAAGTAGAGAAGATATAAGATGTTTAAATGTTAAATGCTAGTTTATCTATCAAAGTATTTAAAATTTTAAATTGTTGATATATTTTGTTTCAATGGAAATATGGGTATTATATTTTATTTAAGTATTAGTTGGTAGAAGGAAAGGTGTATTTATTTTCTTCAAAGTTCTCTCCGTAGCAAAAAATATTGACCAAAGTAATTATTTTAATATTAGGAACTATGTATATATGATATATGAAGATCTGTTCAAATGAAAATTAAAAACCACTTGCGGTTTATATGAAACTTAATACATTTAATTATACTCACATATTCATAAAAAATTATTGCACTGTTTCGATAATTTCTAAATAATTTGTACAAAATTTATGAATAAAATTTTTCATTATTTGTTTTTAGTAAATGAAGAAAACCAAGATAGTGTCTGATTTGAAATTATATTTATTTTAAAAAAATACTTATGATAATATAAAGTGATAATTACGAGTTTTGCTCATTCAATTGAGATAGTTACACTGTTATGGAAGTATGGTAGAATATGTTAGTGGTTTAGGAATTTAAAATTTATAAAGAATTTATCTCAAAGAGATATTAAATGTGTCGTTTGTTTTGGCATTAGTTCGTCTTTTATCTCTTCTTAATTAGTGGTGGATGTTATTGGCGACACATACGATTATAAAAAAAAGACCCATGTTAGACTCATGGAAAAGATTTCTCTATATTTTAAGTTGCAGGTATGATCGTTTAAGCTATACATACGTCTGTGAACTAAATAATTTATATATAAATATTTATTTGAGTTTAATAAAGTAATTTATTAATTAAATATTACTTAATCTGGTTATTTGGCTTATCTAGGTTTAATAATAATAAAAGTGTACACCCATTTATTGGTCTTATAAACTCCACAAAAATCTGATAACTAAGAACATGATCAGAACATGTGGTTTATTTTGTGTGCTGACGATGATAACGACTTACTTTTATAAGAGTATCATAAGTAAATAGTAAATAAGTATAAAAATCATTTTTTTAAATCACAAAATCATTTACTATATATCAGATTAGTAGTTTAGTATATAATGAAGAGTAAAATTTTAAATATTTAAGTCATAACGTAGATAACACAAAATACTTTAACAATTTGATTATACAACCCTACATGATATATGTAAAAATTAGTAATAATAAATTAAAACTTTTCGTATTATAAATACCTGAGCTGCTTTGAAAAGTCGCATTGTTATCAAATATATACAAAATGCAACTTTGCAAATGCAACGGATTTAAATAGATTACTTTTTTTTTTAAACTAGATGTTTCAAATAACTGTTACATCTTTAAAAAAATAAATTAGCGTCTATTTCATTAAAATTTGATTATATTTGTATTTTGATAGCCTTAAGCAAGAATATGCAAATACAAATGATGCTAATCCAACTCGACGATTTTTTGAAAATGCAAATATTTCTGCTAGTATAAGTAGACTCGACGAAGCTCTAATTCACAGTTTTCGTACTGCATTACAAACTATATCAATAAGAGATACCAGGAATCCTAACAGGGCAATGTAAACTAAAATACCACCTTACAAGACTGGGCATACTTGCATACTTACAAGACTGGATGCAAACTGTAAATTCTGTGAAGAGAATGAAGAGTCGGCCACACATATGTTGTTGGAATGCCCTGCGCTAATGCACACACAGAATAGTCTCCTGAAAATGTATGTTCTTACGGAAGAGACAATAAAACTCTGTAAAGTAAGTTCTATAGTACTTTTTATTGACGCCATATCCCCTAACAATAATAATAATAATAATGATAATACAAACTATGTCATCTGGTTATAATATAAATATTGAAATATTTCATCCTTATAATGTACTGTGCACTGTGCGTCGGTGTGAAGTTCTGTTTAGACAAATACTGATATTTATAGTATTTTTGCATTACCTTCTATTTTATTTATCTATTTATTTTTTATTCATTTGAAGTTTTTATTAAAATATCTGTTGTTTATAAGTCAGTTCAAATGGAATATATCTCGGTACCATTGATTTGGTGCAGTATGTACTGATACTAGAATTTATTAACACTGGTTAATTTATAAAAATATATAAAAGTGATTTCCTGAATATTGGATTCCTCATAGATTTCTTTTTATGCACTAAAATTTTCCAAAGGAGTTGAATGTTTCTCACTTTCATATAAATCTTCTTCTAATTTTTATTAATTTCCACAAGAGGCGTACGTAGATCTTCATTCTGAAGTTTAGTTCATTCATCAAGTTTTCACTATTTCATAAAAATATTTGCACTGAGTTTTGTTAAAACATGTACTTTTTTATATACATAAAATTTGAAACAAATATTAATTTCTGTTTAGTTTTCATTTATTCTCTCCACTTTGAGATATAAACCATTGACAAAACTTAATAGAAGATTGGATAAATCCCACTTTAATTCCTTCGGCGTTTCATTGCATAAACTAAATTTAAAATTTTTTATCAAGTACGCAAGTCCAATAGAAGTTTGCATTTTCCCAAATCGTAAACCAATACAATTTCTTGGACCTTCTCCAAAAGGAAGCCAGGAACATGCAGGACGTTTACGTATTTCCTCATCAGAAAAACGTTCAGGTATAAATTTGTGCGGTTCTGGATAAATGTCAGGATCATAATGTATAGCATATATAGGGATTATAATTTTTGTATCAACTTCAATGTCATATTTTGAGTCAGCCATGGTATAGTGTGCATTCGATCTACGTCTTAGGTGTGGTAAAATGGGATATTTACGTAAAGTCTCTGCAATTAGAATTTGTAATTAATAACTATTATTCACACATCTTAATAAATAACTTACCATACATAACTTGTTTAACATATTTAAGTTCATTTATGAATTCATAAGTAAATTCATTGTTATGTCGCTTCAATACTTCAGAGATTTCAGTTCTCATTTTTTCTTGGATGTCCTGATGTTGTGCCAATTCGTAAAGGGCAAATGCCATTGTTGTTGAAGATGTTTCGTAACCGGCAACAAAGAATACAAATGACTGTGCAATTATCTCATTCAGGGTTATACCATTTTCTTGTGAATTTTTCATTTCAATTAATAAATGCATAAAATCATTTCTTTCAATTTTATTTTTTTCACGATACTCCACTGTTTCTTTTACAATGCGTGTATAAAATTTTTCTAGATCCGTATGTGTTTGTCGCATATGCAGTTTATGTGCTAAGGATGGGAAGGCCTCGATGAAGCCATCAATCAATTTGCCATGATGGTGATCAATAAATGAACGTTTGCCATATACACAAAATTCAGCATTGGGATTGCAGAGACTATTGCATTCCAAACCGAATGCACACGTACCAATGACATCTGCTGTGAAACGTCCAACAATATCTGTGATTTCTAAGATACCATCCTTTGCAGTTAGACAATTTTCTTCAAATACTTTTACGAGCGTTGCACCTACACTAACAACGGTCGGAAACATAAACTTCATCTTTCCTGAGGTGAAAGTGGGGGTTAATTTATGTCGCAATGGACGCCATTTATGCCCATCTAGTCGAAATAAGTGTCCGGAGAGTATGTCAACATCTTCATTATTAAACATACCGCGATCGTCAAATTTATCGAAATCTTTGATTAAAATATTTTTAATGAAATTGAGGTCCAATGCAATAATAGTGGGTCTCATTAAGAAATAGAAACCCACATATGGGCTTGTGCCTTTATATTTTGCGTAGATGGGATTTAAAATTTCTACCAAGTGCTTTGTTTTCCGCCATTCCTTTAAATTACCCAGCGGGAAATGTGGTGTCTCGTGTGGTATTTTGCGGCGTTTCCAATAGCTAAGCGTGTGTTTAATATAAAAGTATAGTAAAGAAATTATGATTCCTATTAATGCTATATATACTTCCATCGTGTGCGTGTAAACGGGTCGAAGATTACTGGAGCACTGAATCTAATTAAATTTTTAAACTTGCTCATAGTCTTATACAATTTAATTTTTGCCTAAACAAATAGTTCTTATTTGCTTATAGAAGATAAGAATTATACTTGTTTGCCGTTCAAAAGAGCACACTCTACTCTACACCTACTAATCTATTTTTTTTTATTTCTGAAACTAAGAGTTTCACTTTTCATGTAAATAAAGAATCCATGCATAAAAAAATAAGGCAGTTTGGTAGTACGTTTTTTAATAGTTTAGTATAGCTGCTTTCCTTTCATAATTAATTAAATAAAATAATAAACCATTTACTCGTCACATGCATGTACTGTATAAACACTTATATATAAATAGTAAATAGAGAATCTAATTCGAAATGTTCATATCAGATTGTATTTTTAGAGAATTTAAAGATCTCATTTTATGGTTAGCGAATAATGTAAATATTCTACCCATATCTACTTAATCGCATCTACCATATCACTGTTCTTATTTGGAATGTCTCATTAATATAATGTATTCAGACATCCTCGGTACGTTGGTAAATTGATAAAATTTTATGTACATACATACATATATAAAGACCTCATTTAAAGTTTAGGGAATAATGCAAATTTTCTACTCATATCTACTTATTCGTAGCTCTCATATCAGTGTTCTTATTTATGAAAATCTGAATAAAATAGAAATTATAGGTCTTAAAAAGCCATTGATGGAATGCCTCACTAATCTAATGTAATCTAATCTAATCTATACATATTAGTCCCATTTTTATGATATCACTCAAAAGGTGTTCCATACAGATTTTAACCTTCACTAGATTGTTTATAGTTCCTAAGCCAGCAATATAATAACTATTCCTCAAAAAGTGTAAGAAAATAATTTGATTTTTATAGTTGGTCATTAAACCCCTTATTTGTTTTATATACAGTTTTTTATTACATGGCAAATACTATGAGTAAACCCTATTTTTGCGGTGATAATGACCTTCAATATTATTTGTTTACAGCGTAGAGAGTACAAAGTATCATATATGATGTAATGATCTCACATATTTATAAAATACCCGTTTATAACCACACATAATCATATATAAATGTATTTATGTAATGTAAACATTAACTTAATTTTAGCATTTTAGGTATTATCTGTCTGACAGCAGCTAGAAATTTTTTTTTATATAACGTAACGCTCAGCTCATTTGAGAACTTTGCAATTCTTTTAGGTTTTGTTTATAAAAACAGTTTAAGGTACATACATACGATTATAATGTATTTTAAAAATATATATGTAAAGCAGTTATGACAGCGTTTTTGGCATTTTATTAGGTATGTTAAGTTCTTGCAAGATTTTGTCTAATTTAATAAAGATAGATAAAGATCGTCCTGTATATTATTCTGTAAGTAAATGATATAGAAAATATAGTTTTATATTAAAACATATTGTATATATTGTATGTATCTATTTGATATGATTACAATTACTTACTGAAATTTAGACACTGAGAGGTTTTTCTCTGTGCTATGTATTGATCATATAATTTCCTATATATTTACTTCTATTAACTAAATTATATTAAATTGATCATATTGTTTTTATAAAGTAGTAAGTAATTCTAACTGTTCAGATTGGCAAAATTTGTGCATACACTCTCACTTTTTCAGTAAAAATGCAGATATTTATTAGCTTAAAAAATTCGAAAATAATACGTATTTACATCTAGTGTAACCGCCTAGTGAAGACAATATACAATTAATATAATTTTTACTTAGCGATTATACAAAAATTTAAATTTACAAAATTAAATTCCAAAATTCTGGAAATAAATAAATATTTAATTTTAGATAAAATAATAGGTTTTCACACATACATGACTATGTATAGGTGATATTAAATACGGTGTTCCATAGCTTTAACTGACTGGTTGATTTATTAATCTACATATGTTCTCGTTTGCTCTCTAAATTTTAGACTCTTGCTTTTTATTAAGTTCCATTTGATTGAACCACTGAGTACAAATACTGAGAGGTTAAAATATTTCAAACAAACTTGAACGAACACCATCTCTCTCTGGATTTTCTCACATACCATGGAGTCTTACACGAACTCTTATCTAAATTTCAATCGAAAAGCTCAACAAAAATAAATTTTGTGTGCTTCAATTCATTGTTTTTTTGAGATGAATTTTAAATTTTTGTGCATATAAACTTTGCTAAAATTACTTTACTTTCAAATAGTACACATTTGGTTTTGGGTCTCTTAAGAGTTATTACTAAAATGCCGGTGTTCAGCTTTTTATTATACGTTATTGTCGGTTTGGTGACATATTTGCTCTTTTTATTGAAAAAGCGCTTAAGTTATTGGCAGTCACGAGGCATTCCTTGTGAAGAGCCAAATTGGTTCCTAGGTAATATAACTGGCATACAAACTTCGCGCTGTTTTGCTGATATATGGATAAGTTACTATAAAAAGTTTAAAGGTACTGGACCATTCGCTGGATTCTATTGGTTTCAGAAACCTGCCGTTTTTGTTTTGGATACGAAACTGGCAAAAAATATATTAATTAAAGACTTTAATAAATTTGTGGATCGTGGTTTTTATTCAAATCCTAAAGATGATCCACTTACTGGAGAAATTTTTTTATTAGAAGGACACAAATGGCGCGTTATGCGCAATAAGTTATCACCCACTTTCACTTCAGGAAAAATGAAATTTATGTTTCCAACGGTAATTGAAGTGGGTAAAGAGTTTATAAATGTTTTTGAAGACATGGTGAAGCAGAGTTCCCTTATTGAAGTGAAAGATGTGCTGGCACGGTTTACTGTTGATGTTATAGGAACCTGCGCATTCGGTATTAACTGCTGCAGTTTACGTGACCCAAAAGCAGAGTTTTTGGCAATGGGCAGAAAATCATTGGTTGAGTTTCGTCATGGTCCCCTCGGTGTGGCATTTCTGAATAGTTTTCCAAACTTAGCACGCAAACTACATATGAAGCAGACATTACCAGATGTGGAAGAGTTCTTTTTACGAATTGTACGCGAGACCGTAGAGCATAGAGAGAAGAATAACATAAGACGCAACGATTTTATGGATATGTTAATAGAACTGAAAAATAATAAATTAATGAAATCCGAAGATGGTGAAATGTTAATAAACTTGACTTTAGAAGAAGTCGCTGCGCAGGCATTCGTGTTCCTAATTGCTGGTTTCGAAACATCATCAACAACAATGGGCTTCGCACTTTACGAGCTAGCACAACATGAGGACATACAGCAAATGGCCAGAGAGGAAGTATTAGCAATTTTAGAGAAACACAACCAAAAGCTCACTTATGATTGCATGAGGGAAATGAAATATTTAGATCAAATTATATCTGGTAACTAATTTTTTTATACATATTAACAGAGATATTAATAGAGATATATTTTCTTTTCATAGAAACATTACGTCTCTATACTGTTTTACCGGTTTTAAATCGCGACTGTGTGGAAGACTATGAAGTACCCGGTAACCCGAAATATGTTATTAAAAAAGGTATGCCCATACTTATACCTGCTGGAGCCATACATCGTGATGCTGATTATTATCCAAATCCTGATATATTTGATCCTGAAAATTTTTCTACCGAGAAAGTGCAACAACGTGACAGCATCGAATATTTACCATTTGGAGAGGGTCCGCGTAATTGCATTGGCATGCGGTTTGGACAAATGCAAACACGTATAGGTTTGTCTCTGCTGCTAAAAAATTTTAAGTTCACAGTTTGTCCAGAGACGCAAATTCCATTGAAATTCGATAAGAAGAGTTATTTGATAAATTCTGAGAGTGGAATTTACTTACAGGTTGAACACATTTAGTTCAGCTCAAACTAATTATTGTAGTGTGATGTAGTCATTATATTTCTTTTCTATTTGTGGTATTCGTAGCTATTAAAAATGTCTATATATATATTAGACATAATATTATAAACATATTTATAATATTTCGATTGTGATACATTTTTTAAACTAAACGACAACTTTAACTCGTTCTGTAAGAAGCTTTAGATTTTTTCATGGAAACAATAAAATTTATAAAAAACACAATGTTTTAATATTTTTAATTAAACTAAAAATCAAAACAAGTTTCTTTAAACTATTTATTTATATTGTAAACTGAAAACAGATTTTATTAAATTAAAATAATAATCTTAATTGATTCATTAAATAAGTTTAGTGTTTCACGAATTATTTAATAAAAATGCTTGTGTTTCGGGAAGAGGGGTAAACCTAGCTAATAAAACAATTATTTACTAAGTAAAGAATATACGAGCCTCAGATAGGAAGATAGGTGGTGTTTAATACAATAATGTAATAATAATGAAGAATATATTTGGAAACACTAATCAACAATACTGTGTACAGTACTCTATTTTTTGCATATTATATGTATATCATTGAAGATCTATAAATTGTTATCTATGTAGGTACGGACAATTATTTATGTTAATATGCATGCCCGGACCTTATGAAAAATGTTTAACTTTGGGGAAGTAAATGGAGTATAATGCCACATTGTTTGTCGCATGATTTATTTTGAGATGTAGACATGTAAGACATTGTAGTGCTTGCTTTAACTGATACTTACCATCTATAAAATTTTATATATTAAACTTCATCTTTACTCTCGGAATTGAAGCTTCAATATCGATGAAATGACTTAAAACATAGTTATTGTAGTTTCAGAACTAGCAATTTTTGCTTTGGACCCAAAGCCTGTAAAAAATATTTTAACCAAAGACTATTAAATTTGTGGATCGTAGTTTTTATTCAAATCCTATAGTTGATCCACTTACTGGAGAAATTTTGTTTTTAGAAGTGGCGTATGCGTAAGAAATTATCATCCATTTTCACTTTTGGGATAAAATGAAAGCAATGTTTTCAAATGAAGTTAGGAGTTGACATAGAGTTTGTCAATGTTTCTGAAGATATGGTAAAACAGAGTTCAGTAATTAAAGTATAAGACATGCTGGCACGTTTTAATGTTGATGTTATAGGAACCTGCTGTAATTCTTTTCAAATTTGGTTTTTAGCCACTAACCCATTGAAAAACAATTTAGTGGTGTCTTGGTATTCTCTATATGATAGCTATGCATGTTGATGAGAGTAGGACAATGAGCCGCCGCCAAATTATACCCAAAAAAAAAATGTCTATTTAATAACATAGTAACTATCAAAAGCTCTACCAAAAAAAAAAAAACTCTAAAGTGTGATATTTATAATTGCAACTGGAGCTCTTAACACCGAGCTGATAACTCCACTGAATAAATATATGTTTAAAAAAAAGTGAAAATATTTTATCTGCATTTTCTATCTGATAAGCGTTTGTAAAAATTTAAAAACTATGATATATTCTAAATTGAATTAAGCAATTTATTAATTGGGATACAAGTGCCACAAGATATTATATTAGTCGTATGTACTGCAATACATAATTGGTTGTAGTAGGTACATCCATGCAGCCTTGGCAAACATTGTATTTTCACCTTGACCAGTGTAATAATCAGTGTAATCTTATCAACAATGTATATTGGCTTATCGAAAGATGTATTACATTTTTTTCACTTTGAGGTTATACTTGTGTCAAATTTCGCTTTATCGGAACTGCCTACAATCTTAATTCGAAATATTTTTATCAAATTTTTTCAATTTTCAATTTGATTCCATTTTTGGCGTTCAATAAGAAATTATCATTAACCAACTCATAAGGTATTTTGGTTTCTTCAGCAACGGAAAATTTGAAATATTTCAATAGTAAAGCAAGTCCAATGGCGGCTTGCATTTTGCCAAACCGCAATCCGATGCAGTTGCGAGGACCTTCACCAAATGGCAGCCAAGTACAAGCAGGACGTTTTAGTATTTCATCTGCTGTAAATCTTCCAGGATTGAATATTTCAGGCTCCGGATAGTATTCGGGATCGTAATGTATGGCAATTGAAGGAATTATGATTAAACGATCAGCTTCAATGCAAAACTTGGGGTTTGAAGTTTGGTAATTAGTAGTTGAACGTCGTGTTACGTGTGGTAAGACGGGGTGCATACGTAGGGTTTCTGTAAAAAATAATACATTGATTTATGTTATTATGATATGATTATTATTATGTACATTTACCACAAATCACTTGATGTAAATATTCCATATCTTTCATACACTGGTAGGTAAATTCATTTTTATGTTTATCAAATACTTCTTTAATTTCATTTCTTAAATTGGCTTGTATGTCCTGATGTTGAGCTAACTCGTACAGCGCAAAACCCATTGTTGTTGAAGACGTTTCAAATCCAGCTATGAAAAATACAAATGCTTGTGCAGCTACTTCTTCCACAGTTAAACCACCTATCTCCACACCATTGTCATCCTTAAGTGACTCAGTGTTTTTCAATTCAATTAACATGTCCATAAAATCATTTCTTTTGATATTATTTTGTTCGCGCTGAGCTATAGTCTCCTTCACAATGCGCATGTAAAAGTTATGCACGTCTTGATTGATAACACGCATTCTTAGTTTCCGAGCTGCATTCGGAAAATTATGTATAAAAGCATCAACAATATCGCTGTGTCGTGGATCAGTAAAGAATCGTTTGCCCATAACGCAAAACTCCGCAGTTGGATCTCTTAAACTATTGCATTCCAAACCGAATGCACAACTACCTATCACATCTGCAGTATAGCGTCCCAAGAGATCGGTTATTTCGAGTATATTGCCATCATGGGCAATCTTCTCATTCATCACTTGTGCCAATTCCTCACCAACTTTAACGACCGTAGAAAACATATGTCTCATTTTACCAGAAGTAAACGTTGGTGTCATTTTATGGCGTAATTGACGCCATTTCTCACCTTCTAAGAAGAATAAATTACCCGTTAATGGATCGTCGCGTTCATTATGATATACACCACGATTGGCAAAATTGTTAAAGTCCTTAACTAAGATGTTCTTCACCAGTTCAACATCCAATACAAGTATGGCTTTTGAGAAATAGAAATGAAATCCCGCAAATGGTCCACTACCTTTAAATTGTTTGTACCACTCCATAAAAATTTGAGAAATATGCTTTTTATCTGGCCATTCCTGCATGTTACCCACAATTATTGCTGGTTTGTTGTGAGGTATGCCAAGTCTACGCCAGTGACCGACATCGTGCCGCAACCATAAATATAACAGCGAAAACACAATAACAACGAGCGCTAGTAGAACCTCCATCACGTACAAAGCCCGGACGTGGAATGAGTAATATAGTGCGAAAACTTTTTTTAAATAATTAAAAAAGTAAAGATAAGAATTAAGTGAAGAGAAGTATTTTGTGCTTTTATTCACAATAGAAAACTGCTTATGAAATTATACTCGAAATATTGAAATATTGTCGCCAAAAAGAGTGAGCTTTGCAAGACAGTCTTCAAAAAAATCAACTGAGAAAAGTTTACTCGAAGCTCAAAATCATTTTTGCTGTTGTTTTGAAAGAGATAAAAACTCTTAGTCTTTACTGAAGTTCATAGTATTTTATTCGGAGAGTTTTATAATATTCTATGGCAACACAATATTAGGCTCAAGAACTGAGCTAGCCAATAATTACTAAGTCTTTGTTAAATCAATCAACTGGATTCTCATCCCAACGTAATGAAAAGTGATATTGTATTTTTATTTAATTAAAAGGATAAAAATAATTGATAGATTAAAATCTATCATAATAAAAGCCTTAAAAATTATGTCATGTTTTTTTTATCTTTTTTTTAATGATTCACACCGTAAAAATTTTACTATCGAGTTTTCTAATCCTTAAATGTCAAATTATGTTCTGGTTATTAGTCATACAGAGAACAAAAAGAACAAAATGCAGTACTTTAAGTGAGTACTACTAATAGAACTTTCAAACTGTCGTAACGATAAATCGAAATAACACTATTTTTAAAAATAGATGGGAAAAATATTATTTCGATTTATTATAATAAAGTGAATAAGTTTTATTGTTCTAACCAAGTAGATCAGATCCAAACCATTAGGGTTTTTTTGAATGTGTCCAAAGAAAAGTTTAAATTAGATTGCATTTGGATTATAAAAAATTCTGTGTTTATTATGATTTGATTGAAATAAGAGTTGTATTACTTTTTTTCAATCTATTTCATAATAAATGTCATTTATTTGAATATACATATGTTATATAATATTTCATTTTATGTTTAAATGAAATGCGAAACAAAATTTAAAATATTTTTCAATTTTTTCTGATACCAACAAATTCTTTTTTATTTTATCTTTTATCTTATTTTATCTTTATCTTTTATTTTTTTATTTCTTTTTATTTTACATCGATAAGAAAAGTAATATATCGGTGTAAGCATTTACGAAAACTTTCATCCCTAATTAGAAATTACATCAAATTAGATCTCAAGTCATCATCTACTCGAATAATCAAATACATTTCAGAGTAAAACGAAGGAGAATATAATCAGCAATCGTAATATTTTCTAGATCCTGACATATGTCCAGACTATTCGAATTTAAATAATTCAATAGGTCTTTCGTCTTTACCGATGAATAGTCAGATAAGATGTCAAAAAAAAACTTTGCTAAAGAAATTTTTTTGGACGTCAAAGCCTCTTGATTTTCATAAGTTCTGCTGTGGGGATTATGAAGAAGGCACAGTTTCTCTACGTGAGTTCGTATATACCAATGACCAGAAATAAGTGTAGTAGGTCTTGCAGTATTCACACGATCCCAATGATGTGTGTTGAGTTCCCAAGATCTAGTTTTATTATACGTGAGTGATGTTAACCGGGAAGTGGTGCACGACTTAAGTTCCTTCATTACGCGTGAGTATGCTTATATATATTTTGTGTGTGCCTATACAGGGTCAGCATACATCACTGATTTAGAAACTGAATAGGGACCCGATATAGTGACAAAATTAATTTTTTCTATTTACGTAATGTCATAACAATGTTATGTTATTTAAATGTAATATATGTTTGAGTATTTATTCTCACAGCACATATGCCACTATTTTCAATATCCTTTATTCTGCTGCGGCAAATCATCCATTAAACATCCTGTTATTTGATTATTTGGGGGGTCAGTCAATTATACTTTAATAAAGCCATCAAACATACTTTTTGGACTCTATATGTTATATGTGAAACTCTTCTACTTTTTGCAAATCTTTTTAAGTATAAGAATTTAAAATATACTTTCTTAGTGAAATGATTTTTGAGTTTACTGAAGCAGTTGAATATAAAACGTTAGTTCTATCTTTGCAGTACTAGAAGTCCATTTCTATACTCATACGCAGTCGTTAAGGTAACGATAATCTTATAATTTGTTGTATTTTGTTCGTTGGCTAACGTTCAACAAGTTAGATGTTCGCTTCGAACAGATAAAAGGAAATATTATTTTAAACAAATAATTTTGGACCTTTCCTATTATTTTTAGACCAACACAGAAAAACTAAAAGCTTAATTGAGAGATAAAAGTTTTAATAATAAACAAATATTTTGGGGGTTCTTATATTATGTGACAATTTGGGTTTGCATGCAGTCGAGTTAGAAAATTGGAGAAGAATAGTTAAATTTACTTAAAAAATATTAGAATAGAAATTTCAGAATTTATAAGAACTTCGTGCAAAAATGTTAATAGTGTCATATGTTTTGTATTTAATTATAACGCTACTTACCGTTCTCGGTTTTTGGCTGAAAAAGCATTTTAGTTACTTCGAGTCCCGGCGAATACCTTGTGAAAAACCTAACATATTTCTTGGTAATCTTGGCGGTGTACAAACGACTCGATCCTTTCAAGAAATATGGATGAATTACTACAAGAAGTTCAAGGACACTGGACCTTTTGCCGGTTTCTATTGGTTTCAACGCCCTGGTGTATTTCTTTTAGATATGGAACTTATTAAAAATGTGCTGATTAAAGATTTTAACAATTTTACTAACCGTGGTTTTTATACTAACAAAAAGGACGATCCATTAACTGGTATATTATTCTTGTTAGAGGGACATAGTTGGAAATTTATGCGTACCAAAATTTCCCCTACATTTACATCCGGTAAAATGAAATTTATGTTTCCAACGGTCATTAGTGTAGGGCAAGAATTTGTAAAAGTCTTTGGAGAAATGTTACAGCAACAGGCAGTGATAGAGGTCAAGGAGTTATTGGCACGCTTTACCATTGATGTTATAGGCAATTGTGGTTTCGGTATTGATTGCTGCAGTTTGAGAGATCCGAAAGCGGAGTTTTTAATAATGGGTAGAAAGTCACTAGTGGAGTTTCGTTATGGCAGAATTGGATCAGCTTTTAATAGTGCATTTCCTAATTTAGCACGAAAATTTCATATGAAAATAACGCCTGCTTATATTGAGGAATTTTTCATGCGTACTGTACGAGAGACAGTGGAATATCGGGAGAAGCACAATATCAGAAGAAATGACTTTATGGATCTCTTGCTTGATTTGAAAAATAATAAACTAGTAAAGTCTGAAAATGATGATGAGCTCAGAAATTTGACATTTGATGAACTCGTTGCACAAATATTTCTGTTCTTTGTGGCTGGTTTTGAAACTTCGTCTACAACAATGGGATTTGCACTCTATGAATTAGCTAAGCATGAAGAAATACAAGAACGTGTTCGAAAAGAAATCTCAGATGTACTTGACAATTACAAACAGGAGTTAACATATGAGGCTATAAAGGATATGACATTTTTAAATCAAGTCATATTGGGTAAGTACTCTTAAAAATAGTTTGAAAATAGAAATTTGGACTTACTTTTTTTAATATATGTAGAAACTTTGCGTCTTTATACTGTCATACCAGTGCTTAATCGACAGTGTTTAAATGATTACGTTGTGCCTGGGCATCCAAATTATGTTATTAAAAAGGATATGCTTGTTTATATACCAGCTGGCGCAATACATCGTGATCCAAAATATTATCCAAATCCTGATGTATTTAATCCCGACAATTTTACACCAGAGAAAGTCAAGGAAAGGGAGAGTGTACATTATTTAGCATTTGGTGATGGTCCAAGAAATTGTGTGGGTATGCGTTTTGGTCAAATGCAAACTCGTATTGGTTTAGCATTACTTCTAAAGAATTTCAGATTTTCAGTTTGTTCAGAAACACAAATCCCACTTAAATATAGTAAAAAGCATTTTCTTTTGGCTACCGAGAGCGGTATTTACCTCAAAGCTGAAAGAGTTTAGTCTTAGATTTATATTAACGTAGGTTAAGTTAGAAATTAAGTTCATTAATATTAATAAAAAAATAAACTGATATAAGCAATATCTTTAAAACAAAGTTTAATTTTAAGTACATAAGCACTGAAGTTATCTCTGTTTTGTTTACTAATTTTAGGTGCAATTATCAATAAAGTAATTTTAAACATATTCTAAGCAATGCCCTGATCAAATATCTTACAATCTAAGGCAAAATATTGATAAGAGAGTCTAGTGTGTTCAGTAGTAATATAATGATTAAAATAATACGAGAGATTACGAAGTTCAGATCTATTCCGTAGAATATCTTAAAGGCGCGTGAAGTACAATAAATGCGTGAGATAGATCGATAACAATAAATGCATATGCGTTTCATTTCTGTATTATTTGTATACTAGTTGTAATTTAAAAGGCTTTTACCTATGTAATACCTTTTACCATAGATAATGGCTTTAGAGTTTTAAAAATTGATTTTAGCAATCAAACATTATAATCTGTTTAAAGACTTAGCTCTTTTTATTTAACATTAAATACTTTTATTTAGAAGTTATAATTAATATGTTAATAACTATAGGTTAATTATTTAATGGAGGTTAGTAGTAATGTCACAGAGAAATTTGAAATCACGCAAGCAACTCTTTGTGACCCTGTATGGTCTAATGCCAAGCTTAATATTTACACACAAAATTTCTTTCACAACAAACTTTCTTCTACATATATTGTTGCTTTTCGATTTTCACAAAAAAACTTTCAAAAAAACTTTCTAATGCTTTTATTTGGAGTACAAAGCTCTGTTGAGTTCTATTTCGAAAAGCTTACTTAGAGCTTATATTAATAGTTGCAAAAGTATCCCTAAAATATGACAAAATATTTTATATTGTTTTATAGAGCCATTGAGAACAATACACGAATATAATGGGTATTACTTAATTAGGGAGAATGGAGCTAATAAATTACCTGCACTCCCATACCAAATGATATTTCATAGATTTAATGACAGTCCATCTCTCAAGACGAGACGGTTCATTTAAATATTTTAGTGAGTCTTTGCAATAGCGCGGTTTTCAGATATTCCAAAAAACTTATTATAGACTACCTCAATGCTTTCTTTAATTAATATATTAGTGATATTGGATAGGTATTTAAAGAAGGAAGACCCTAAAGTAGTACCGCCACTCGCATGTGCTGGGCAGTGACGGAGTGAATGAGTGGGATTTGCTTTTTGTTCTTCTGTGGTACTGCTATTCCGATAGTCGTTGAAGGGAGATAAACAATCTTTGTATAGTGTTTCGTCAGCGTGGTTATAGTATTGGACAATAAAGGAGAAGTAATACTGTAAAGCTGTGCTGCTCTTTTTTGCTTACAGGTGTGTCATGTCTTACCATAGCTTTTGACAAATGCGGGCAGTTATTTTTAAATACTCTGTATATATAAGTCACTTCATTCGTTGATTCTTTTCTCGGGATGTCTCTAAAATTGCGGTATATATATTCCATAAAATCTATTTCTACATGGCACCATATTCTTATCTTTCCACAAACTCTTTCGTTATAACAAAATCTTGTTTATCTGCCATATCAACAGGTACTTCTACTGAACTATCTAAGGCGCTCTAATTTGGTGTATCTAAAGTTTCGATTTTCTATCTCATCAATGCAGTGAATCTATCTATTTGTTTGCTATCTGTTTGTTGTAAGAGGACAAAGACTTTTTCAAGATCTTGCCTTCATATATTGGTCGCTGCACAATGTCACTATTTTAAAATTTCCATAACTTGTTGTCGATTCGTAGGCAAGGGGAAGTCTGATAAGAGTTATTGTACAAGTGGCATGATATTGAGCTTAAAAGAATTCAAATGTGCAAAGTGCGTTTTGATCAATATTTGATTGTCATATCGGTGCATCTTATGAAATGTTAAGTAGCGTTCTGTTGTATTCAAATTAATCCAAATCTCTGATAAACTATTTACACTAATAAAGCAGAATAACTGGAAATTCGCAATAAAGCATGAGGCTTTAAAATAATTTGGGTATAGTACCTCGATATCGGCATGTAGATTATAGACACTGTTATGAAACAAACAAATTTGCTATGTCACTGATATAGCTCGAACCACTTTAGTTGCCACTAAATTGATTAGTTTGATTATTATACAAGTTTATAACGATGATTTTGCCTTTTATTATTTATGATTATATTTGTTACTTGAACTGGTATTCATACAACCATGGGTACTCGATGATTAAGAAGTTTGAAATTCAATACATTTTTCACATAAAAGTTATATTGTTGAAACAATCATAAAACAAATTATTTCATATACTTTTAATATTTAATATATTTAAAGATTAGGAATGAATCCTTATTATAATAAATTCGAATAAATTATTATCTTGTTAAGCAATGGAAACAACCAATAATTTGTTTTTATTTTATTTTATTTTATATTTTTTTAATTAGGTTATAAACAATATGTAAAAATAATAAAAAAAGTTGATTCATAGTAATCTCTCTCATTAGTAAAATATTGTTAACACTTGCATGCATTTTACACTCACACATACCTTAATCTGAATTTAAATTTTTTCCACCATCAAATGAATTCCATTTTTTGCATTTAAAACTAGTGGTTCCACATCCAGTATATATGGAATCTGGGTTTCTTTAGCAACCGTGAATTTAAAGTTCTTAATTAAATATGTGAGCCCAATGCAGGCTTGCATTTTACCGAAGCGTAAGCCAATGCAATTGCGTGGGCCCTCACCAAAAGGTAACCAAGTACACGATGGTCGGCTCTTTATTTCCTCAGCTGAAAAACGTTCAGGTTTGAATTTTTCAGGTTCGGGATAAAATTCTGGGTCATGATGTATTGCTAGCGAGGGAATTACGATCAATGTTCCCTCCTCAATATAATATTTCGGATCGGAGGTTTCGTAGTGTGAACGAGCTTTACGTATTAAATGAGCGCCAACGGGATGCAAACGTAGAGTTTCTAAATTAACAATAATTAATATTACATCATTTTATATTTTGATTGCCTTACCATCGATAACTTGCTCTAAATAGTGCATATCCTTCATGCATTCATACGTGAACTCATTGTTGTGCTTCTTAATGGTTTCATTTATTTCTCTTCTCAGTTTGTCTTGTATGTCCTGATTTTGTGCTAATTCGTAAAGTGCGAATCCCATCGTTGTGGATGAAGTTTCAAATCCCGCAACGAAGAACACAAATGATTGGGCGGCTACATCATTCTCAGTTAATCCCGTAATAATTTTTCCATTTTCATCCCGGGTTGGTTTTCTGTTTTTCAGATCAATCAACATGTCCATGAAGTCATTGCGTTTAATGTTATTTTTTTCTCTGTACCCAACAGTATCTTTTACAATACGCATATAAAAGTCACTAATGTCCTGTGGTATGATACGCATGCGTAACATGCGTGCAATATCTGGAAAAGTATGCATTAGACCTTCAACAACTTTATTGTGCCTTGATTCTGTGAAAACACGTCTGCCTATTTTCACAAACTCTGCGTTTGGATTACGGAGGCTGTTGCATTCTATACCGAATGCGCAAACTCCAATGACATCAGCAGTAAATCGCCCTAAAAATTCATTGACCTCAAGTACTTGTGGTGCTGATATTGTTTTTTCGGAAATAACTGCTTCAAGCTCAGATCCAATGTTACTGACTATTGAGAACATGTTTTTCATTTTGCCTGAGGTAAATGTTGGTGTCAGTTTGTGGCGCAATTGACGCCATTTGTCGCCATCGGTGTCAAACAAGTTACCGGTTAAAGGATCGTCGCGATCATTGTGAAAAAGTCCACGTTCATCGAAATTATTGAAATCTTTGATCAAAATGCGCTTTACGAGATCAATATCAGTTATTACTGCAGATTTTGTCATCAGTAAATAAAATCCAGCAAATGGACCAGTATTTTTATATTGTTTATATGTATCTGCAAATATTTCTGCTATGTGCTTAGTTTTACGCCATTCATTCATATTTCCGACTAAAAATTCTGGCTTATCATGTGGCAAGCCACGCCTCTTCCAATAACCGAGCAAGTAATTTATGTAAAACACAAATAGTGTGCCAGCACCTAAAAGTAATACGATAAACACCTCCATCTCCGACGCTTTCAGAATCAGTATTAAGATTTTTTTAATCTTACACTGCTTTAAATAGAATTCGACAGCTTCAGTCTCTTTAAATACCGGTATATGTTTTAAGAGATAATATTATATCAAAATTTAAAATTGTAGAAATTAGTGTTGTGCTCTTTTTTCTGCAAAATAAACAGTCGACCTAAACAATGACTGTATATGGTTTGAGATACCGGTGTGTTAGGTTTAAGGTTGTTAGGAAGCACTATTTATTAAGTGGTTTTTGCTATAGAGAAGATTTATTTTAAAAAAACGGATTTCTTCACTAATATTAGAATATATCAACCATTGCAAAACTACTAAGCTCACTTTAAAACTTTCAGAATATATATCAGTTCGGAATGGATTTTATAGGTTAAAGTATATTGCAATTGAGTTTAAAGTAAGTTAACTAAATAGAGTTGAAAGATCTTATTGTCTATTACTGCCCGTCTGTTTCTTATAATATCATTACGATATCAAAATATGAATAAATAATTATTGTTAATGTAATATGTGTTTCAGTTAGAGTTATCTTAAGTCGGTTTGAACCGATCATAAACGTGATATTATATCTAGTTTTGCTGGCGAAACAAAACGTGGAAACAAACTACAGCAGTCTGTCTAATTACTTATTTGGGTTCAAATTTGTTGAACCGATATAAATTGTTAATTACTATATTATTAAAGAGAAAAGTTAAAAAGTCGATAAAGTTTTTATTACGTTGCCGATAGTTTGATCCATTTTTCACTCACAACAGCTTGTAATATATGGGATCATTAGCACTATTCCTCAATTAAATAAAAAACACTCGAAACAACAAAAAAATGGAATTATGAATATTTATTAAATAGTTCCATAAATAATTATTGAGTTACGAATATCCGAGAATTGTTGGATATGAATTTGATTTGTGATATAAATTTATTCAAAATTTGCTGCTTCTACAAAATTTGCTATATTGTTCCAGTGTTTTACTTGTTTTGTTTGTCGCAAGCCGATTTTTTCAGTTCCCCCTTTCGTAAATAGTCTCTCTTTATTTCTAATAATATATAATTAATAATCGAAGTTGAAAATTAAGATAAAATTAAAAACTTTAACTTTTGAGATCTCAAATAATTTTTTTTTTGTTATCTTTAAATTCTTTTGGAAAAATGTCGTAAGAAACAGGAATCGAAAAGTTTTTGAAAGCTGGTCGAAATTTTTGCGGCACGTTTATCTAAAAGTGTTTATAGAACCAGTTTTATATGAAAGATACTATAAAATACTTAATAATAAAGCATATAGAAAGCAACAGTTTTCTACATTTTGTTGTCGATAAATGGGAACCCCTTATGTGATTCGGTTTAGAATAGTTTACAATAGAATAGGTTTAGAACAAATTACGTCCATATCTTTTTACGTCGACTCCAGTTAATAATTTTCATTAACGTTTTTACTTGAAATTTTTTGGAATCTGAAATTATTCCACATAATGCTGAAATATTTAAATATAAAAAAAGTTTCTTACGAAATATGTCTTCTGTGTAATGGATGTTGACTTCTTTTTGGATGGTCAAAATTGAGAGCAAGTAAAGATAACTATCTGTCTTGGGATCAGATTTGTTGCTGCAACTAAAATATGGAACACTTTAGAATCAAGAATGTTTCTTTTGTTAAAAGTTAAATGATAGTCTAACTGGGGTTAGCACAACAGAGTACCTCTGTCGCTGTGCATAATACTTCCCATATAAATACCTATAACGTAGTAAAACTTTATCAGAACGTTTTTATTACAGAATATGGTTTTATAACCAATATTGTATAGATATAAATGACTACAAAATGTAAGAGATGTATATGTAGGGTATGTATAAAATACAATTGACCAACTTTTAAGCATATATGTATATTAAATTTCTCTTAAGCTCTGAGATACTGAACTTGCAAACATTATGGAAATGAGTTATTTAATTACATAGTATTTGTATAATAAAGTTCATTAGATTTGAAGAAATTGCCAGTCATGCTGATTTAGTAAAAATATTAGTATGAGTATTATTTCATACATTGCTGACGTTATCTTTAGAAAACATTCTGCAAAGTGAAAGAGAAATAATAAAAAAAAATATTAGATTAATACACTCCCACCAGCTGATAAAAACTATAGATAAAATTTTAGTGAGAGTGATTCTGTATCTATTTGTTTTATTTAAGCTCTGTGTTTTTATTTTATAATTACATATTTTTTATATACAAACACAATTTAATTGAAATTACGAGCTACTCTTGACCTAGGTTTATGGGTACTTACATGTTATTACGAGTATATATATTTATATATTTTTTATTTTTGTTTTTATTTTACAAATAGTTTTAATTGAATAATCATAAATTAAGCATATAAATAATTGCTAATTATAAATATTTAATAGTAGATAATTGAGGAAATATTATAAAGTTGTAATATCAGTAAATATTTCATTATTTCGTTATCAGATGATAATTATCACATCGCAGTCATACCGTAAAAGTATTAATTTGTTTATATTTTGTTCGTAGGGGCTTTGCTTACTGCTGATTAGTTATGACTTATCAGCGAATTATTGTGCTTTTGTCGACAACTAATTTCTCTTCCTCTTACCTCAAGAATATCTCAAAGTTTTCAATTGTTGTCAAAAGCTTTATTATTTTATTTGTTCATACATTTAAAAATATATATGTAAACAAATAAGATTTGTTTAAATGATTTAGCAAAAATTTGTGGTTTGTGTGAATTTCAAAGATACAAAAAAGTTTTGTTTTGGTTCTACACATTATTATTGTAAACAAATCACAGATTTGGCTCTGATTGAAAGCTATAATTAATATGGAAATATGTATGCGTGTATGCCTATGTATGTAGGTGATTTATTTATATATTTATTGAATATTTATATTGTGTGTAAAACAACAAAATTTATTTTTTTTTTAATATTATCAATCCATTTTATTCTCAATTATTAATTCAAAAATATTCAAGATAAACAAATTCATATCTGAAATGCTGTGTTCATTATTCAACTAAACATTATTGAACAATTCGTTGTGATGACACGACAAACGTTGAAAAACTAGCTTCAACCTCAAATATTACATATAAAAATGACTAATATTACATCAGCATAATAGACTAAGTAACTTCAGCTTACCAGATTATGTATGATGTGTTCATGGCCAAAAAAGTTAATTAAAGTGGTTTGTAGTTAAAAACTTTTTAAATCAAACAGAATAAAAATAAATTTATTTAAATTTTTTGTTCACTTTCAAATAAAAAGTATATATAATATAGCGATTTGAAATTAATTTTTGCGTTGCATAGTGTATTATTCATCGCTACTCACTTAAGTAGTAAAATATGTAATATTAATTTATAAGGGAAATTTGATAGTAAATGGATTAGTTTTGATGGATGACAATGTTTACTTATATATTATCATTAAACAAAAAAATATTTTTATTAGATTAGAATATATAAAATGTTTATAAATAAATTTCATTATCTAAAAAATTTCTTACTCACATTTTTTTATTTGTTATTTTTAATACATATATTTATAATAATTAGTCTATATTACATACGTAGAAAAATAATTTGAATTATAATTATTTTTAACTTCTATAAAAAAAATAAATTTATAATAAATAAATGGAAATGTCAATGAATCTTTTCCACATTTAAATAAATTCCATTTTCAGCATTCATAACAAAACTTTTCGTAATAAGTTTATATGGTATTTGAGTTTCTGGAGCAACTGTGAATTTAAAATTTCGCAACAAATTGACCAAACCAATACTAACTTGCATTTGTCCAAAACGCATGCCGATGCAATTACGGGGTCCCTCGCCGAAAGGCAACCAACTGCATACGTGACGATTTTGTATTTCTTCAGGAGTAAAGCGTTCTGGTTTGAATATTTCAGGTTCCGGATAAATATCTGGATCATAGTGTATACCAGTGACTGGTATAAGAATAAATGTGCCCTTATCTAAGTAGTAATGTGGATCGTCCGTTTCATAGCGTTCAAGAGTTTTACGTACAATTTGTGATACTACCGGATGCATACGAAGTGTTTCTATAAATATGTTTTCGTATTATTAAAAAAAAAGTACTATAACTGATTTATGAAAATATTTACCACTTATGACTTGATCAAGATAATGCATGTCTTTCATACATTCGTAACTAAATATTCCATTGTGTCGGGTTATAACCTCATTTATTTCTTGTCTTAGTTTGTTTTGTATATCTTGATGTTGTGCCAGTTCATATAATGCAAAACCCATTGTAGTTGATGACGTCTCGAAGCCAGCTATAAAGAATACAAATGCTTGTGCTGCAACTTCTTCAATACTAAGGCAATCGTCATCATTTGGATTATTTTTCATCTCAATCAACATATCCATGAAATCGTTTCTTTTCACATTGTTTTTCTCACGATAATCAATAGTTTCTCTGACAACACGCATGTAAAATTCATGGACTTCATCATTAATAACACGCATGTGCAAACGGCGCGCCATGTTTGGAAAAGAGTTTATGAGTCCATCAACTAAAACATTATGTCTTGATTTCGTTAAGAAGGATTTGCCAATGCGTACGAATTCTGCTTTACCATCCTGTAAACTGTTGCATTCTAAACCGAAGGCGCATGTACCAATGACGTCAGCTGTGAAGCGTGCCAAAAAATCAGTAATTTCTAACACTTGCCGTTTATCGTGGATTTTCTCTTCAATGACATGTGTAAGCCGTTCACCCACTTCAGCTACTATGTTGTACATAATTTTCATTTTGCCAGAGGTGAAAGTGGGTGTCAATTTATTACGAAGACGTCGCCAGTTCGTGCCATCCATGAAGAATAAATTACCTGTTAGTGGATCATCGCGCTCGTTGTGGAACAAACCTCGTTCATTAAAATTGTTGAAATCTTTTATCAAAATTTGCTTCATTAAATCGAGGTCCAGTATCACAGCACTTCTTCTAAATAGAAAGTAGAAACCAGCAAATGGACCAGTGCCTTTGAATTGCCTGTAGGTTTCACTGAAAAGTTGCGAAATGTGTTTTTCTCCTTTCATCCATTGTTTCATATTTCCCCAAAATAAAGTGGGTGTGTTATGTGGTATACTACGTTTCCTCCAATAGTCCAATAGATAATTAAAATAAATTATCACAAGCGCCACTGCGCCAAACGCTAATAATAACAACACCACCATTCCGTTCGAAAGATAATTGCGATATGAGCGCCTAGCTCTACGCGAGTATTTCTGAACGCTCTTAAGGTGTACTCATTTTAGGTTCTCTCGCTTAAAGCAATTTTATAGGCACACCCGAAAGTAGATGTGTTCTTATGTTATTTTATTATACTTGCGATACACCAAATTATTGGGTAGTGTAGGTTCAAGTAGCCTTACACACTTGTGACCGCTTGTTTACAAAATAATAAAGTATTTATCTCAAGTATTGATTGTTTATATGTACGATTAAATACGATTAAATAAATAAATATGTTATTTTCACAGATGATTTTGTGTCAGTTTAATTCTTAAAAATTGGATAATACTAATATTATAACTAGGAGCAGAGATTCGTTGATTCCGGCCATTCAATCTACCAACGAATTGTGAACAATGTTTAAGAAGCTATTCAACAATTTATTTGAATTATTATATTCTTGCAGTTCTGTTAATCTCGGCAAAAATATATTATTGTTTCAAAATATATCAAAATAAATACTCATTATTTTTTTTTTGTAATAATGATTTGCATATTAATTTTATACAAATATTTTTACTTTTAAATTAACTATTATAGTAATACAATTATACTTTAGTTAAACGTCAGTTAAAGAAATGTTTTATTTAAAATATAATTATATTTAATATATATTTAAATCTTAACAGCAATTATTTTTAAAAACCTTTTCACCAAAACTTGCTGAACCATAATAATTAGTCACTTCCGACTAAATTTTTTCAACTTTTAAATAAATGCCATTCTGAGGGCTTAATAAGAAATTTGACTTGACAAGATCAAAAGGAATTTTGGTTTGCTCGCAAACACTAAATCTGAAATTTCTTATCAAATAAGTCAGGCCAATGCAGGTTTGCATTTTACCAAAACGTAGACCAACACAATTTCTTGGACCTTCACCGAACGGCAGGTATGAGCAGTGTGGCCGCTTTTGTTGTTCCTCTTCCGAAAATCGTTCTGGATCAAATTTGTTTGGTTCTGGATATATATCGGCATCATGGTGAATAGCATAAACGGGTATGATCACATTAGTACCTTTTTCTATAACATAATTCGGTTCCGAAGTTGTGTAATCGGCTTTGGCTGAACGCACTAATTGTGATAGGACTGGATGTTTACGTAAAGTTTCTGTAATTCAGAATTAAACAAATTTCAAATATTTAATTTAGATTTAATTAATATATTTTACCTGCAATAACTTTTTCTACATATTTTAATTCTTGCATGCACTCATAACTGAACTCGTTGTTGTGTTTCTTGAGAACTTGATTTATCTCGGCTCTCATTTTATCTTGCACTTGTTGCGCCTGTGCTAACTCATAGAGAGCAAAACCCATAGTTGTAGAAGAGGTTTCAAATCCAGCTAAGAAGAACACAAATGCTTGAGCCGCAAGTTCCTCAAATGTTATTGGATTTTCTGCGCTGTTCTTCATTTCGATTAGCATATCCATGAAGTCTTGTCTTTTTATATTATGTTTCTCTCGATATTCAACTGTTTCTTTTACAATACGCATATAAAATGCTTCTATTTCAGGATGTATAGAGGCCATACGTAAATTTCGTGCCAACTTTGGAAAACTGTGTAAAAATGTGTCTACAAATCTGTTATGACGTCTGTCAACAAATGCACGTCTACCCATAACAACGAATTCTGCATTTGGATTGCGCAAACTATTACACTCAAGCCCGAAGGCACAAGTGCCAATCACATCGGCAGTGAAGCGACCCAATAGGTCCGTTATCTCTAATACACCACTGTTAGTAGAAGCCACCTTCTCGCTAAATACATTAACAAACTCGTCGCCGATTTTTGTCACAGTTGGGAACATGAACTTCATCTTTCCAGAAGTGAAGGTAGGCGATATTTTATGACGCAAAGGGCGCCATTTTTCACCGTTTATTTGAAACAAATTTCCACTTAATGGATCATCACGTTCATTGAAAAATATGCCACGTTCATCAAACTTGTCAAAGTCCTTGATGAGCACATTTTTTACCAGTTCTAGATCTAGCACCAGTACGCTTGGCTTGACCAAAAAATAAAATCCAGCAAATGGACGATTATTACCTTTGTATTTGTTATAAACTGGCGTTAGTAATTCTGTGATGTGTTTGGTTTTAGCGAAGCCAACCATATTGCCCTGTGGAAAAGATGGTTCATCATGTGGTATCCCGCGTCGTTTCCAGTATGATAGTAAATATTTTATATAATATACCAATAAAGAGGCTAATATTAAAAGAAGTGTAAGAACTATATTCATTCTGACTGTGTTTTCCTCTTCGCGCAACAAATAATACTGAACACACTGCTCAATCTAATGTTGTATATAAACTCTGTTGCCGTGAGCAGAACTAAGCATTCTCAATCGTCGATAAAATATGTTTGTATGTTGATTATCTGCTGAAATTAACTTGTCGACTAAAGTTAGATGACGTGGAGAGTACAAAAATTGGTTCGGACTATTGTCTCTTACGAAATGCCATTTGCTTGTTTCGAAATTATTTTAACTCTATTCATTGCTTTAGTTAGGGCTGAAAACATATAATCTGTTTTTAATACTAACACCTTTTCTAATCGTGTATATTATGGTTGATATAGATACTGCGATGGATGGTGAATTTAAATCTGATGTAAATAAAAAAATCGTTAGAGAATTGTAATTTCTGTTATTAATTTCGGAATGTGTGATTATCAGAGTGACGTATATATTGGTTCTGTCGACAGATAATGTGTTGCTATGCACCTGATGAATAATACTGGACTCAACTTTTGAATTCACTTTCCGAATATTAGCAAATAGTTGGCACTATCTGGATGTTTTTAGTGTCGACTTCTTCAAAAGTAGAAATAAAAATCGAATTGGTTAAATTATGCAAATTGGTGTTATATGGGTTCTTAGATATAGTGAAATTCAGTAAAGAACGATAATAACTCAATAACTAAATCATTGTAAAATTAGTTTTTTCTATTTTTTTAGTATAAAATTTGTTGAATTCAGTGATTTTTCTTCATGAAATGGAGTATATCTTTAAATTTGACTTAGTTGAAAAGCAAATCTGATTTGCAGATGTGAAAACATATACATTTTTATATATCTTAAGTGTATAGACATATATTTCTTCATCAATAAATTCATATGTATATTATAATAAATTTATATTCATTTACAATTTTAAACAATAATTATGAGAAATAATTAATTAACATAACTTACAAAAACAAGAACCTATTCTCATAGTTTTGAATTAACCTAGCAACTTACACATCATATCATTTAAAATATTCGTGAAGTTCAAACCAATCAATTTAGACTATATAATTCGAAATGGATATCCAGCTTTTCGGATAATTTGAATTGTTTGTTGCAAATAAGTGCTGTTTTTAATCGATACTAACGAGTTATATTCGTACTCTGTTTTGAATATTAATCAAGCTTTCATTATTGTAATACCAATGTTAAATGAACGCGTCATTTGTTGTTGTTATTCTATTATGCAATTAATTCCTGTTCCCCAAAGCAGCATTATTGCCTTTTATATACAATAGATCTATCACTCATTAAAATACGTAATAATGAGTAATTCTCTCCATTAAAGTAATCTAAGCGAAACGTTTCCAGAACTTCAGATGACATAGTGACAACATAACCTTGAGTCAAATGTGTCTTGATTTATTACCAGCAATTAATTACACATTGGTTGTTGGTAACAATAATCACAGAAGAAAGTCTAAAATATCTAAAAAATATACTAATTCAATATATAATCATCCAAAACCTGCTTGCAAGGAAACTAATTCAAAATTCGAAAACTATTACTACGCTTAAAAAGAAAAAATCTTATAGAATTTCTTGAAAAAAAATGATTAGTTAATATGATATAAACATATATGTGGACAGATATAGGGACATATCACTAGAGATAGTCCATGCGCGCCTTTGTTTGTGCCTTGTATTGCTTCTACAAAATAATTTCTTATTCTTAAGTCAAATTCGACAGGTTTTAATAAAAAGGGCTTGAAAAAGAAATTGTTTTAAACCATGGTGCTTAAATATTGCACCGGCAATTGCTTTTTTCATATACTTTTTTCTCTATGTAATATATACCTAGAGTATTCATTTGATTATAATTCATTATGAGTCTATAATCCAAAAACTTTCTCAGAAAGACAGTAACCAATAACAATCGCTTATCAGATTGTATCATCAGATCATTACAGCTTATCAGATTAGCATAGAAGACTTTCCCCTGAAGTGGCATTATAGATTTTGTGCTAGTAAATCGAAAGATATTAACATCTCTTCTAATATCATTAATTAATAATAAATTTAAGTAGTAATAATCATAATAAACGTAGACACAGATTTTATTGTACAGAATTATATAAATCAACTGTTTAATTCGTCAATATATATCTTCAATACTAGACGATATTATCCATTTAGATATATTTATAAGTCTCATAACAAACAAAATATGAAATATAAAATTAAATAGAATATTAAATAATATTAAATATTAAATAAATAGAATATTAATATAAGAAATAGTAAAAATATTAAACAATTATTTTTAAATGGCTTGTAATTTTAAATGTATACCATCTGCAGGTGCAATTAGAAAACCCTTCCGTGCACAACGAGGCGGTATCTCAGTGACATTTGTTGTAGTAATTTTAAAGTTTTTAATTAGTTGAACCAAACCCACTTTTACTTGTAGTTTACCGAAACGATTTCCAATACAACTGCGTGGGCCATCACCAAAAGGTATAAATGCTGAAGAATGTCTTTTAGCGATTTCTTCTGGAGAAAAGCGTTCTGGATTGAATTTTTCAGGTTGTGGATAAATATCGGGATCATTTTGAATACTTTCTATTGGTATTACAATCCTTAAACCTTTTTCAAAAGTGACGTTACTGTTTGGTACTTTAAAGTCAGTGACAGCTTGTCGTGCAATATGTGGCAGCACTGAGTGTTTGCGAAGAGTTTCTACACAAATAACATATAAAATAAATTAGATTAAGAAATTAAATATATTTTTAGTAAGTTCACAAAATTACCTGAAACAACTTTCTCTAAATAACTCATTTCCTTTATATTTTCATAGGTAATCTCATTGTTGTATTTGTTAAGTACATCCAAAATTTCATTGCGCAATTTATCTTGTACGTCCTGGTTTATGGCTAATTCATATATGCAGAAAGACATTGTCGTTGATGATGTATCAAAGCCAGCTAAGAAGAATAAAAGTACTTGTGCAGTCATTTGTTTCAACGTAAGTCCATCAAACTTGGTATCTGTTTCACTATTTTCGTTAACTTTATCAGATTTTGTTTTCAATTCAATTAATAAATCCATGAAGTCATTACGTTTGATATTATTCTTTTCTCGATATTCCACTGTTTCCTTAACCACATCCAAAAAAATTTTATAGCTTCATCTCTAAAATTCTTCATTCTCAGCTTGCGAGCTAGCTCAGGATTAGTAAACATGAATGCCTGTACAATTAAAGAGTGACGCGGTTCTTCCAAAATCATGCGCCCCATGCGACGGAACTCGGCATTTTTCTCTTTTAAACTATTGCATTCAATACCAAAACCACAAGTACCTATAACGTCTGTTGTGAAGCGGGCGAATAGGTCTTTGGCTTCAAACTCTCCATTTTTATCCAACACAATTTTTTCGCAGGCTGCTATTAAACTATCTCCAACTTTCACAATAGTTGAAAACATATATTTAATTTTACCTGTTGTGAACACAGGTGTGAGTTTATGACGTAGTTCGCGCCATTGGTCACCATCTAGAAACAACAAATTTCCCGTGAGTGGGTCATCGCGTTCATTATGAAAAAGACCGCGATCGGCGAAACTTGCAAAATCTGAAACCATTATTTGTTTGATAAGATCCAGGTCCAATATGAATGCGGCTTTTGTGATGAATGTGTAGAAGCCAACAAATTGAGCTGTGCCTTTGAAACGATTATAGATTCGTTGGTTTACATCCTTCCAGTGATATTTTCGTCCAATGCCACTCATATTTCCAAAGAATAATTTTGGCTTTTCATGCGGAACATTTCGTATAGCCCAATATGAATAATGTCTTTTTAATAAGATATAAACAGTAGCTACAAATATCAGTGTTAAGGAAAACAATATTACAAACATTTTTGGTTTTTTTATCAATATTATCACTGCTCAATTTGATTGACTAAATTTAAATGTTAACCCAAAGAATATTGCCTCAAGTATAATGAGAACTGAATCAATACTGAATTAGCTGCCACTTCACTGAGAAATTCATAGCAATAAAGCTGTTGAAATCAAAATTACGATTGTGAACTGCAACGAACTTTTGTATCTGCAAAATTTTTAATATTAAAAAAAATACACAAAATGCGTTCTAATATTCTCCTCGGCTATATAACGACAAGTATCTACAATTTTTAAAGCGATATAGTCGTATAAATACATTTCTGAACTTTGTTTGATCGCTTGTCGCTTCTAATCTTCTGAATCTCTCAGAGAACAAAGAATTTCAGAATTTGAGTTAGATTATTCAGGAGAATGAGAGCAGTCTTCAATGGACATGGAGAGGATAAATGCAGTAATAATTGAGAAATTAAAGATGAAGACTTTTATCATCTGAATGATAGCCGGCAAGAGTGAGCTACCACTCTCTTCTCTGGCACAACATAATAAGTAATCGCACATATGCCCTAATCGAGTTGACAGTTTGTTTATATTCATAAATAATAAATTAAAGTGAGTGATGCTTCGATATAAAGATACATAGAATTATTGTTTTTTGATGTTTATTATTGGCGTTAATATTAGCGTTACTGGTTTTATATTTATATTGATTAAAGCTTTTCAAATTTTAGTTTCATGCCGGCAGTTGGTGTGAGGAGAAAGCCCTTAAGAGAGTATCGCGCCGGAATTTCAGTGTGCTCTGTTATACTTATTCTGAAACTTTTTAATAAAACTATAATGCCGATTTGTACCTGTAATGTGCCGAAACGTTTGCCAATGCAATTGCGTGGTCCATCACCAAATGGTAAATAGGCGGCGGGATGTCGTTTAGCAATCTGTTCCTGAGAGAAACGTTCAGGGTCAAATTTTTCAGGTACGGGATATAACTCCGGATCGTGATGAATACTATCGACTGGTATAATTACACGCAAATTTTTTTCAAAAGTGAAATTGGTGTTCGGTACGTTGTAATTGGCTAAGGTTCTTCTTGCGATATGTGGCAGAACTGGATATTTGCGGAGTGTTTCTATAAGTAAATACTTTTATAACTACAAATCTATATGATGAAAGATTTAACACAATTTACCTGATATTACTTTTTCTAAATAATACATTTCCTTTATGCATTCGTAGCAAAGCTTCTCATTATATTTTTCGAGTACATCGAAAATTTCATTCCGTAAAAGTTCCTGTATTTGTGGATTGATGGCAAGCTCATATATGCAAAAAGCCATTGTGGAAGATGAAGTATCGAAACCTGCTAGGAAGAATATCAGCGCTTGGGCAGCTAATTGTTTCAAAGTAAACCCATTTGATTGATCGTCTGGTATAGCATCTTCTCCCAACAAATCTCGATGAGTTTTCAGTTCAATTAATAAATCTATAAAATCGTTGCGTTTAATATTATTTTTCTCACGGTACTCTACTGTTTCTTGGACTACTTTTAGGAAGAATTCCGTTGCTTCGTCAGTGAATGTTTTCATGCGCAGTTTACGTGCTAGGTCTGGAGCCGTAAACATAAATGCCTGTACAAATGGTGAGTGACGCGGTTCTTCCAAAATTTTTCTACCCATTCGTTGAAAGTCGCTATTTGGATTTGTTAAGCTATGACATTCTAAACCAAAAGCACAGCTTCCAATCATATCCGTAGTGTATCGTGCAAATAAATCCTTAGCATCAAATTGGCCTTCTTTTTTGTCTACAATTTTATGGCATGCTCCCTCTAAGTTTTCCGCAACTGTGACCATAGTTGAAAACATATACTTAATTTTGCCTGTAGTGAAGACAGGTGAAAGCTTGTGGCGTAATGCACGCCAAGGCTCACCATCCAAAAACAACAAATTAGCTGTTAAAGGATCATCGCGTTCGTTATGAAAAAAACCCCGATCCGTGAAATTACTGAAGTCTTTAACTAGTATGTGCTTTATTAGATCCAGATCTAGTATGAAAGCAGCTTTGGACATGAATGTATAAAAGCCCACAAATGGTGCAGTGCCTTTAAATTGCTTATAGATGCGTTGGTTTATGTCCTTCCAGTGGTGAGTTCTACCAATACCTGTCATGTTGCCCATAAATAATTTTGGTTGTTCATGAGGTATATTTTTGATACGCCAGTACGCATAATAACGCTTAAGCCAAACATAAAATGTGGCTATAAGAGTTAGCAGCAATATAAGTAATGTCATTGATATTTTATTCTTAACTTTTGCGATCAGTTGTCGGTCAAATACTGAATTCTGAATTCCTATTTACTAAACACGATGTGTTTTTGAGATACAAATTGTTGATGAGGTGACCAGATATTATTTTATCTTTCCGAATAAGATATACTATATATTTCAAAATATTAATTAAGTGTGGTAATAAGGCAAAATCTTAGTACAACTGTGAGCATACAAAACGTCTCAGATATGGAATATAGGTTGCTTGAGTATAAGTTTTTGCTTAAATATTTAAATCTTTCTTTCTCTACTTTACCGTCTAAATTAATATTTTATACATGTAGTATTAGAACCTGCGGTATATAGTATTTTTATTAAATATATTATTTTAATATTTGTTTGTATATATTCTCTTATAACCCGTCTGGTCAGCTTATTCAAGTAAAAAAAAAAATATATGGAGACGTAGTTTGAAAGCTTTAGGCAAAGAGAATTGCAAGAATGTGAAGATCTTAATTTTACTCTTAGTTTGTTAAAAAACTCTTGAAAGCTTTCAAAAATAATTAAGTATATGAAATGTGTATCTATATTAATGATTTTGTTTATGAATTCTTTAAATATTTGTTCAAATTGAATTTGGAAAATATTGTAGTTCTCATTTGTTTGAAAACTACGCCACTTTTGAAGAAAATTTTGCACTACCTAAATATTAATATTTTATCTATATTAACCATTATAATTTGAAAAGCTTAGACTTATTGAATGATATATCACATGTTGATATCTACCTAATTGTCACTTTATACCATATATACCAGTAGTATTAAAACTGCATTATCTTTTACTCTGTTTTCTTTGCTTATAAAATTTTCGCAAAAATGTATGGATCAGTCCACCTTATCAGAAGCATTTTTATTATATCAAAATACTTATAAACATATATTCTTATAAAAATACTTGAACATATATTTATACGTACTTAAGTATTAAAGTCGAAGTAATAAAATTTAGACGCATTTTACTACTTATATTGTAAACGTAATGATGGATAGAGTTTAGGTTTAATATTTTAAATACTGATCTGACTTTAAATGTATTTTATACTATAAATAATTGAATATAACATATAATAATAAGAAATTTAACTAAATAATAATAAATAAATTTTTTAAGTACAAATTTAATTACATATACATCACATGTAAATTTTAAGTGATTTATATGGGATCGACGCGTAGATAAACGCCATTTTTAGGTCTTATCATAAAGTTGCGGTTGCAGATTTCTATAGGATTTTCCGTACGGCTTGAAGTAGTGAATTTAAATCTTCTTAGTAAGGTTATAAGTCCAATCTTAGCTTGCATTTTTCCGAAACGAAGACCAATGCAGTTACGTGGTCCAGCACCAAACGGCAAGTACGACATTTGTGGACGCTCTTTAATTGCTTCCTGTGTAAAGCGCTCTGGATCGAATAAGTCTGGTTCTGGATAAAATTCCGGATCATGATGAATGGCATGAACTGGCACAATGACTGTTATACCCTCTTCTAGGCAATGAGAGCGATTGGAACCGGCTTGGAAATGTGTAGTAGTTTTGCGAATTAAGTTTGGTAGAACAGGGTGTTTGCGTAGAGTTTCTGCAAGAAAATAAATATTTAAATAAAAAACGGGAAAGTGGAAGTATTCTATTAAGTATTCTATTATTTGTAGAAAAAGAACAAAAAAATTAACTTTGCTTTAAGAATTCTAGTTCGTTTTTGGTTTTGCTAGTTTTTATTTCAAAAATAAATTAATTAATTTCGCCTTAGGTTACTTGTAGTCTCTATAAATGTATAGCACATTTTCTAGTAAGAACAAAATGATGCCAATTTATCACAATAAATTCTGTGATATGTGTACTGTTAAACTGAATAGAAGAATTCACCATCGCGGTGATAAATGACTAATCTGAACTAATCGCGAAGAATGTAAGGTCTTCAGAACTTTATGCTTTAGGTTAGTTAAGATTACAATGAAAAGTTTTGGGCTTTAGCAAATCTACGTTCGTATATTTACTTTAATACTAACTGTACCTTTGCAACGATGCTAAAACGCTGCCGTATTCTGACAACTGGATTACGCTGGAGTCAGTATGATGAAGAAGAGATAGAATCCATTAATCGCTATCTCTGTATTTTTCCAGAATTTAATACAAAGCGTATACAATATCTTGGATATCGTTTCTTTACTAACCAGAGAGTTAATAAAAGAAGATTTTTTGGATCTTCTAAGAAGACTAAATAGGATAATAGACAAGGATAATAGCAAGAGATAACAACGGTTGGTGTAATTTGTTGATTCCAAGCCAAATTTGAAGGCTTGATGTCAATAATTAAAGGCAATAATTATATCCAAGTAGAAAAAATCTATCCTATTCGAAGGGAGAAATAAAATGAAGAGCCAATGTTGCGACAAAACCACAACAGTTTTAATGATGGTTCGTTGATTTTTGTAGTTTGACAAATATGTTATTCTTAAAACAAATATAGTAGCTCATTGTTTAATAAAATTGAAATAATTGTGTCTAAAGTTCTTTAGCAGGATATTCTAAAGAGTTGCAAGAATAATAGGACACAATATACTTATATACATATGTGTATTAAACAAGCCATTGCAAATAAGTATTTCAAGTATATAGGCTACTCACGTGCATGAGAAAATCAGTACGAATGCATGTATACCTTTTCATTATTTTTTAACTGGCAATAAAATGTTTGTGCTTACCCATTATTATCTGCTCTAGATAGTGCATATCATTCATTGCTTCATAAGTCAATTCATTATTATGTTTCGAAAGTACACTGAATATTTCATCCCGTGCTTTGTCTTGTATTGGGGTTTGAAGCGCCAGTTCATGCAGACAACAGGCCATAGTTGTGGAAGAAGTATCGAAACCAGCACCAAAGAAAACAAAAGCCTGTGCTGCCATTTGTTCAATAGTCAGACCATGTGATAAGTCAATACCATCTCTACTTTTTCCTGCTTCTTCATCACTGGCTTTTAACGCAATTAACAAGTCCATGAAGTCGTTTCTTTTAACGTTATTTTTGATGCGGAACTGCACTGTGCTCTTTACGACTTCCAAGAAAAATTTACTTACATCACTACGAATTACTTTAATGTGTAACAAACGTGCCAAATTCATATTTCTGTTAAGTAACGAGAGTATTAATGGAGTATGACGAGGTTTTTCGAATATGCTGCGTCCACGATGACGAAACTCTGCGTTTGGGTCCTGCAGGCTGTTACACTCAATACCGAAGGCACATGTACCTATAACATCGGTGGTATAGCGTGCACTCAAATCCTTTATGTCGACATTCTGGTCTGAGTCCAACTGCATCATGGTCTGACAAGCGTCAGCGAAATGTTCACTCACTGTGACTATGGTGGGAAACATAAATTTCATTTTGCTGGATGTGAAGACAGGCGTTAATTTATTACGCATAGCACGCCACTGCTTGCCCTCTAGTGCCACGAGATGACCAGTCAGCGGGTCATCGCGTACATTATGATATACGCCGCGATTTTGAAACTGATTCGCATTGCTTGTCAGTATTTGCTTGACAAGTTCTAAGTCCAACACTAAGGCCACTTTCCAAAAAAAAAAATACATGCCGGCATATGGTGCAGAGCCTTTGAATTGTTTGTAGTAGCGCAGGCTCATGTCACGAAAGTGAAACGTACGTCCCAAACCTTTAAGATTACCCAACGGAGGCGTTGGACGTTCATGCGGTATGCCACGCCGACGCCAGTAAGAGTACACATTCTTGACATAAACAATTAACAGAATGACAAGCGTTATAAACAAGTTAAATAAAATGTAATATCCGTACATATTTGTGCTATTTTTAGTAAAAGATTGGACTTTTTTTTGTATTTTTTGTGTTTTTGTTTTTAGTAAAAAATAATTATTTCACTTCGCATTTATTATCATTCAGCGTTTTTATTTTCTTATTTTTTCTTTCTTCTTTTTTTTAGTTTTTTGTTTTTATGCCGTATGGAAGTGTTAACAACACCGCACCCGGGACGTCAAGAGACTTCGATTTCAGCTGGAAAACTGAAGTGCAAAATTGTTCTGTGCAAACTTAAAAACAAAACTCAATGTAGTAGGTTCGTCTCCACTGGCGGTGCTATCTTGACAAATAGTTCGATTCTTAGCGAACTTGTTGGGTTCACAGAACGAAAAGTGGCAATCGAACAGAGAGAAAACTACGAGAGAGCGAGAGTGCTACAGTGCCAGTAAGTGATAATAAGCAAGTCCGCTGGAGCGAAGTGCAGCGAGTTCAGAACTTAAATGCAAGACGAAAGAATTCCTTATGACGTCAAAAGCATTCTACGTGATAGCTGAGCAGTGATCATCTCAGGTGGAAGTTCGGTGAATACTGCAGACACATTTTTTTAAACGTACGACTATTGCATGAGGTAGCATGCGGTCAACGATTTCTGCGTAGAGAGTAGCGGGGCTACGTGACTTTGTTGTTAATTATGCTTTGGAGTCTTTAGTGACTCCAGAGTGACTCCACAAAGACTTCTGACATAAATAGTATCACATTAGGTACCGAAAATTGACAACTTATTTATTGCGAATTTGGTTAAAATTATTTACAGAAACTTTTATTGATGTTTTTATTTCTGTTGTGTATGCCTGACTAACAGTAATAAAATGTGTACATAAAAATATATATAAGCTGTCACGTAGGCCATGGTGGGAGGTCGCAGATAAGTTTACGAGCATTAATATGTCTGTTTATTATAAGTTTAAATAAATATTTAAAAATTAAATTACGTATATTATACTTATGTATTATCAAAAAACAGCAATAGTATTATTGTTAAAAATATCAATAGGAAGAATAACTTTATAAAGGGGGAAAAAAGAGTGGAAGAACGCTATTTATTTTTTATAATAATTTTTAATAATAATAAAAAAATCTAAAACCACTGCCTAGTATAAAGAATTACATAAGAAACGATTGCTACTTAATTGAAAAGGTTATCGTATGAATTTCATAAGATTCTAATAAATTTAACACATGAATAAAAATACTCAATATTATTAAGATAATAGAAAAAACTTATTTGTGACAATTTTCATATTTAAATGAAATTTTATTTAATATTTGTTTAATTAATCCAGGTATGCAGTCTATCAAATAACTGCAAAGGACAACTGGCCGCATTTCTTACCAAGAAGTAAGAAAGAAACAATTAAAGTGTATATTAACAATACTAAAAAGGTTTAAAAATAATTTTTAAAAAATTTCTGTGTAAACAATTAAATTCATTTACTTCAATCGTGGGTCTGATTGGGCAGCTCTGTATCGGTAACATTTGTCAAATTAAACTGTCATCGATAGCAGAAGATGAGTGCTATAGCAGAATCTAGCCTGTTTAACAACCATTAAACATACTTAAATAGCTAAAACTTGTCATATAAGTAGTGATTTCGTATTATATTTTCCGGATTAAAAGAAAGATCATGTTCGTTATAATCGTCCCACTTAGTGTACTATAAGTAAAACTTTGAAGAAATGTGAAAAACCTGAACTTGTAAGAGATGTGCTAAGGCTAAGTCATTATCGTAATTAATGCTCGGTTGATAATATTATTATTCTTAATAAAAGTTTCAAAAAAGTTCCAAAACTATATGGTCTTCATATATAGTATTTATTTATTTATATAGCACAGTATTTGAGTCTATCCTACGGCACATTATGGAGTATTTGCATTTAAATTTGTATCTCCATTCTTGTAAAATTGAGTTAATGTAGGAACGGAAGCAGGCTGGTCGTGCGATACATAAGTATAAAACATATAAAAAGACCAGAGCATCTATGAAAAAAATATTATATGGTTTAGTATTTAGTCAGGATTAGTGATAGATTTTATTTCATGAAAATTGTTTATGTCTGATACAAACCGCCAATTGAGTGTTACATCTATATGATTAGCACTTGATTTACCAGTTGGCATGAAATTGAAGATATAGTTGTGAAAAATATGAAGTTTCAATAAAATGCTTTTAAAAACTATCAACATCTTCACTTTAGTTTTGTTTCCAGCATGTGTGATTTCACGTTTTGTTGATTTTTATTTCGTGAATTGATCGCCAAAATTAAGTGATTTGTCATTATTGGCCTTTTTTTGGGGGGTATGTCAGACAACATATCCCTAAATTAACAGTGCCTTAGAAAGAATTTATACCACACATCTATACCACATATAGATGAAAACTATCCAGTTTTATTCTCTTCATTAAGAATATAATTGAATAAAGTGATTAAAAATATTTCAAAATGTCCTTACCTATATGATTGCCTATTATTGATGAAAATTTGGGCTAATGACACCTATCACTGTATTAAGAAATCATATGAAGACGAATAAATAACAAAATTAATAATAAAATTTAAAACCATTTTAAGACATCGAATTAAAATTGCTTTTTAGTTAACCAAACCATTTTAGCAACAGAGTGAGTAGATTTATGAGAAAAGTCCTTTTAACGTAAATAAATAATCTACCGTACCAGAATTTATTCCAGACAGCTAAGGAGTGCTATTTGTGTACTATCCTTTGTGTATTCCTGAGTCCTTACTACTTTTTATTACCTCTGGCATGGTTTACTGAGCACATAAGTCAAATCATACATAAACGCCAAAAGCACGCATTTATTTATTTTTGTTTATTGCGATACCAACAATATTATTGCATTGGCAAGGACTTTATGTGCTGAAAAACACATTCGAGGAGACACATACATTTCCTAGGCTCATTTTCAGTATTTTATATGCAAATTTGACTATTTTTTTCTGGCACAAACGTACATACTTCGAAAGCAAAACGTACATATAGGAACGTTAAAATTTATATGCCTAAATAATGACGCTTTTTAGCAAATACATTTGGTTATTTATTCGTATATCTGTTCAAAATCTGAAGTAATAATTGCAATGTATTTTTTGCTTAAAAAAAATATAAAAAATGTTATTAGCACTTAAAATTGCAAAGACAGATTATCCTGATTTTGTCACGCATACGCCATGTAGTACGGCTGTCGCTTTAAATTATAGAAAAGTGTGAAGTGTTAGAAGAAAAGAAGAAAAATACGAATAAATTTTATAAAAAAGAAAAGAAAGTAATAAGCACCGAAAACAAAGAAAAGCTAGAGACTGCTTTATTAGAGGCAAGCAAGTAATTTAAGTGAATAATATTCTTTTGCAACAAATATGTCAACAGTTCTTTATGTCCTTTTTTATTTTTATAGTCCTTTGCAAACATACTCAAAACTGTGCTGTGTTTGCTGCTGATTCGAGTGAAACTCTTTGTGAACTTAGAAGTAATATCAATAAAAAACTTTATATTTAAATGTAAATTTCACTTAAGGCTACAGAGAAACACAGTAGCTCAAAGGACATTATAGGATATAAATGTAAACAGTTAAAGCGAATGAGTTTGTAAGTTTTTGAGTCATGAAACCATCTCGGCTCCAATGTATAAGTTTTTGAAATGCATGAATTATAATTAAAATGAAATAAAATTATATTCTAAGTTATTTTAACAAACATCTGTAATTTTATGTGTTAACAACAGTCTGACATAAATGAAAATAAACCTGGATATTCAAAAATGCAATTAATTTAAGATTATTTGGTTAAATTTAAATATGAAAAATTATAAATTATAACTTAAAGTAACTTGAATTGCATTTATGACGGAAACATTCAAACATTTATTTAAAAAATTTTATTTCTGTTTTAAATATTTTATGTATTAAATATAATATCACTTAAATATATTTGCTTAACTTATAAAATGTCATAAATTTAATTGAATTGTATTTTACAGGAAAATTTATTGCTCATTGCGGTTAAATAAACCGACCTAGTGTTGTAATACTAATACCTTGTAAATATAACTTTCTGGAAGAAAGTTTCAATTTGACTTAACCCATTTAAAATATACAAAGTTAGCATTTCAATAAACTTATCTTACCCCTAATTCATACTGCAACCTCAACAAAACCGTAAATAAATTTTCAATCAAGTTCAACTAAGGAACGTTTTTGGCTATTTTTTATGCTCACCCCAAAAATTTGCGGTCTGAAGAATTTATTATGCAGCATAAAAATTTTCATCGTCCTTAATATACAATATAAGAGAACGGAGGGAACGTTTTGTACGGTCATACGTGTCCATAGAAGTTTTTGTGTACAAATATGACTACTCGGGATGATTGCAAAGTTTTTGAAGTTAGTTCATAATTCACACTAAATTTTAGAAAAGTATATAATGTATTGATATCTCATATTTGAAAATAAATCAAAATTTTAAATAAAAATAAATTCTCTAGCAGACTGAAAAGATCAGCTTCAGTGTGACTAACCATGAACAGTAGTGAACTACAACAACAAAAATTCATTTTATATTACTTTAATTTTTTCTGAGACTACAAGCATCAGAAATCGTACTTCTGTCCTGACAAATTTGAAGCTCAGAGTCAGCGCTGACCTAAACCAAATGACCCAGAGCCATACTTGACTTTAATGTTCGCACATTTTTCTGTAGTTTTGTTACTTTGCTATTAAAAATATATAGAATATTAACATCCAGTGCTTAAAATATTAAATCATAATATAAGTAAAGGATGACATAAGTAAAGGATAAAGTATTTATTATATAGCATCGACTAACAAAAATAATAGTATGAAAATAACTTCTTGAGATATAGTCTTATATTTTATTAGTAAAGTAGTAGTACAGGTTATTTTGCAGACCAAGGGAAAAATTAGAAAAATTTATGTATTCCAGAAATGCTTTCTTTATGAATGAATAAAGACTAGTTTCTTGACTGATTCAGAAGGACACTATACACTGACACTCTGGCAGTTGTAATGAAAATTTGCTATAAATTTAAAATAGATTTAATAATTTTCCAATACCTTTTATTTTCAATTCAAATTTAAAGAAAAAAAAGCGTTTAAACTGAATTGGGCCACCTTAAGCAACCAGTATATCGAATTGATTTGAAACTAAAACTTTGAACATGACCCTCGTATTCACATTTCCATACTTTTATGCGTGCATGTCTACCTTTCCTAAAGCAAATACAATTTTTGGGGTTAACACTTTCCAAAATTGCTTATTTTTATGTCCAAAAATGCTGAACGATATAATTGGAGCAATAAACGGTAAACAAGAAACGTCAAAATTGAGTAACGACTTGTAAATTTTATGGCACAAGTTAAGATACTGTAAAATGCTTAAAGACACCAGTAAATTAAGGAAAACATTAAATGCTTCGCAAAAAGGAGACTTTTGCCATTTAAGCATTTCACCTCAAACTAATAGTGGCATTTTTAATGTTTGTTTTAATTAAATTTAATTGGCGTACTTAAGAGCTGTGGTAAGGAAGTTAATTTTCAGTACATTCATCTTTTGACTTTCGTCACCACACACATAATGAAAACTTCCACTGCAGTATCCATGAAACTGCTCCACTTAGACACAGTAGATTTTGTTCCTTGAACGTCTTGTTTCTTTATAATGGAGCAATCAACTTTTGTTAGATAGTGTGTCGTAAGACTCTAATACCACTTAATACTATACAAAACAATGCAGCAATGTATCTCGCACCACCCACAATTCTAACAGAATTTTCAACTCGCCAATCACCCTTCTCACCCTTCCTTCCTGCTCATTCTCATGACTTCTATTTTTCCATGTGGCTGCCAAAAGCCCGGAGTGCGAATAATGTTGCATCTTTTATCTAGAAAGATTTGGTTTCGTTTGTTTTAATTTTTATGCAAAATAGAGAACGGAAAATTTTAATTTTGAACATGGTTTTTGTAATTTAGCAGGAGTTGAGACCCTGGAACGTACCTACCAGCTCGGCATTATCATAAGCTGGTAATTTGAATTGTGATTCCACTAAATGCATTGAGCGGATTTACGGAATTTGTGCAACCAATTAAGTTTAAGCAAGTTTAAATTGCTTCTGAAGGTGTTAAAATTGGACTGAAGGTGCTCAGATAGATATTTAATAAGATGGTGCTAATATCGTATTATTAAAAAATAAAATTCCCTAAATTAAGTAAATTAAAAATTTTTAGTTAATTTGTATAAATAATAGCGAAAAGTTTTTTAATTAAATGGAAATTTTATATTTGTATATTCAAAATGCAACGATAAATGCAAATAAATAATTTCGATATTTTTTAACCAATTTTATTTAAATGAAATTTATATTTTAATATTTATTTTTTAAAAATAATTTATTTAATCGATTTTCAAAATTGTTCAAGCTTTTCCGACAAAAAATGTTTTTGAATATTTTGACAGGATGCTAATTGTTAATGTTTCGAATATTCTTGGTACTTGTCAATCAAAATTTAAAATTTTTAATAATTTCTAATCAAACATAATTCAGTTTTTAATTAATTTTTATCAAACGCAAATTTTAAATGTTTGGATTATGATTTCCATCCGTTGCTTTGATTTGGAACTCTTTGCTCACCTACATTTCAATTTGTTGCACTCCACGACTCTCGAGACCGCACTCAAGTACACGCAATCAGTTAATTATTTACTGTGATAATTAATGTGTCAATTCACAGTTAATTAAGTGTTCATTTGTTGACATCCTGCAGCTCAATAACGCGTCCTTTACGGGCAAATATGAGCTCATTTGTGTATAAATACTCTGCAAATAAAATAACTTCTTTATGCTCGCACACATACGCTTCCTTGCCACAATTCAACTCAGATATTCCATTCTGATATCGAATAAGGAAGGCGACGGGGGTGAATGAGGAATGAGTAGGAATGAGTATCTATTTAAGCATTAAAATAAGCAGACAAGAGATATTTTACTTCAGAGTAGTGCAGTATTTATTTATATTTCAAAGTTTAGCTTTCATAGTTCAAATAAAAGCCAAAGGATTTCATGTTGAGCAGTGTAGACTAGTGTAACTAGTAATTTAATAAAAAAAGAATATTCGCATCAGCAACAAGGTACATAATTTTAAGCTCCATTACTGTCGGATTAGGTGAAAAGATACTTTAAGATTACGTCTAGCTGTTAAGTGTTTTCGTTTCATATTCACTATGGTTAGTTCACACTTTAGGAATTACACAAAAACTTTAAAATGTGATTAAAGTTGAATCTTAAATATTTTATGTCTTTCTGAGCTTTAAAGATAGTTTCAGGGATGTTTACATTAATTTTATTTTATGTGTTTAAAATGTATATATCACAAGATAAAATAAAAATAAAATAAAATAAGAAAAATTAATTGCAATCAGCGATAATTAGGGGTTAAAGAAACTATAAGGAAGATGATTATATCTTGTTTTATATTATATACAGTGAGAGTGTGTGCATACATGTAGTGTGGAAAGTGTCCGGAATTATTAAAAATACAAATTATTTTCATAATAAGTTTATTTTGTGACCTAGTTCTATTACACCTACGTCCCACCGCGTACAATACAACTAAATTAGGGCTTCACTCAATCTTTCATATATTTTTTGTTGACCTTTAGATATGGTCACCAATTTCCTCGGCGAATTCTCTGAAAATATCTTACTTGTGATCATTCTAATTATGGGTGTGTAAAAATTTCGCACGGGGTTACGCCATTCATTTTTACATAACGTTAGTAAAGACATCGAAGAACATATATTACTTGGCAGCAAATAGGGATTAAATACGATATATTAATACAATCTGATTAGTGTCACTATATAAATAGAAGATCATTACAATATTTTGGCAGCACGATTTCAAATTATAAATTATATATATTTATATACAGAATGTACTAATGTATATTAAATCGTTATACCTGTACTATTCAACCACAGTAAATCAAGCTATTCAAACAGTTATAAATTCAGTTGTGAATAACCTCTTGTAAAAGGACAGGCTAAGATATTCCGCTATCAAAATATACGAATTAATGGGCGTCTTAAGCATTCAAATATATATCTTCACAAAAGAATCTTTATTATCAACCACATATGTGGTTTTTAAACTAAAAAATCTATGTCTGGGTATGTAGAAGTAAATTGACATTTATGAACTAGTACAGAAGAGTAGCTTATAGACGCCGTTGCCACATAAACCAACCAATCATATACGTACATAATGTATATAAATACATAGTACATTTATATAAAAACAAAATATGGTATTGCTTCTTAAAGAGAACGTATTTTATGCGATATTTCCCAATTTTAAATTTCGGATATATAATGCACTGCATGTGTATTAAAAATGTGTTAACCATAATAATAATTTTTCTGTAGTCCATCATTAGAAATTAAAAATTGCATTTGGTTTTTTGAAATACTAAGAAATACTCTCTATAAAAAGATACAGAACAAGCTAGGCAAGCAAATTCTTTTCTTAGAAATTAAAAATTAATTTCAATGAATAAATAGTCCTACTCGTTACTCGCATCTGACCATTCGCACATATATCGTATCTCTAAACTCACTCTAAACTGAAACTTGCTTTGTGGGAGTATTTTCCAAACTTAGTAGACATTGTTTCTCTAAATAAATGCTTAAAAATCAGAAATTTTTATTCTGATAAATAAAATTTTTTTAATTTTTTGATTGATTATCCAGAACTTGAGGAAAAAATTCATATTTGGGTTTAAAATTTTAAGGATGGCTTCGCGCTTAGGTTCATTTACAAAAACTATTTTTTCCAAAGCAATAGAACAAAATTTAAATAGAAATAAACAGAAATCTATTTCATATCCGGTATCAAAAATAGATTCTGTAGAGGCCGTTGTAAGAGAACAATCCAGAAAAAAAGATCAAACCATTAAAATGCGAAGCGAGTGGGTTGGAAAAAAGCGTTCCCAATATGCTGCTCCAATTATTGGAAATCATAGTGATTATGATGAACGTTATACAAAAACAGAAAAAACTGAAAGAACTGATGACCAAAAGTATCCAAAAAAAGTACCAGATCTGGCTTTTCAGAAAGATAGTATGAATTCGTTAATAAGAAGTGGGAGTAATGTGGAAAAACCCAAGGCCCTAAACACATGTTACCTGCCGGAACACATACATATGTTGAAAATCACAGAGTCTTGGAAAAAAGAACCACTATACAAACGATTGCAGAGACTAATCAATGCAAACCAAAAGAACTAGAGCTTCTATAACAACATGTATACTCCTAAAATGAAAAAGTCGTATTTAGAAAATCTTACTCAACCAAGGTTGGTCCAATAAGAATTTGTTATAAATTTTTACATATTAATCGTTCATAGTTTTACAAATTTTATTTTCTTCCTTATTAGTACTAAATTTTAATATCCGTATATTGAATAATACATCTTGAAGAAGCAATTGCTTCAATTTAAAGAAAATCATCCTAATTACTTGCGGTTAAGTGTAATCTATCTGAGCTTTCCAGGCATTATTGGTAAGTAACTGAATATTAGCATAAGGACATTCGACTTTTATTCTAACCTTGATCTGTTGTATATCTCAAAATTTAGAAACAATATACAGCATATTAATAAGTCATTGGAGTATACAGTATGCAGCTCTTAAAAAGTGAAGGTTAATTGAATATGATTTCAAGAGAAAGTAAATTTCACTAATTCTTTCGAAAAAATTTTAAATTAATTCTAGTTCTCTTCAAGCTATATTTATGCACATGGGAAAGGTACTTTTTCACTTAAGGTAATTGTTATTGCATTATTATTTATGATTTAAAAATTTATGATTATGTTAAATTCAGGATCGAGCTGCAGGACTGAATATTGAGAATGAGAATAATACTGGAATTCTGTCAAATGTAATCCCTGCTGTAGAATAAATTTTAGGATAAGCTATTCCTCATGAGACGATCTGATCTGAACAAATCCAAAGAAGCTTAGTGTGACGATTAAAAGAACTGATCCATACAACATCATTTTCATATACGAATACGGCAGGGATTCTTTTTTATTATCAACTCGTCATTGACGATCTAATCAATATTAACTGAAGAAATAAGTTCTACTTGGCGGAGACGACTTAGTCTGTATAGATTATTGATCAGTTCAGTGTCTTGGTCTTATATTGATGGGACTGGGATGTATTACTAGTACTATCAAATTGTCGCTTCTAATACTATTGCACCATTTTCTGAATACAAACAATATTAAATGTAATATTGTTGGTATGGAGAAATGTTTTTGGAATAGATTTAGTAGCTGATGGTTGGTATCTCCGGTTGAAACTGCAACGAACTAATTGATATTACTTAACAAAAATAGAGATAAAATCTAAGCGCATTAGTGTGAAGCCATTTAAAAATAAAACTTTTGGTTTCTAAATTTAAAAATTTGTTCCGAAAGCAATAAATTCTTTAATTAAAAGAAACTTCCTTTTGAATTATTTTCTATCTGTTGTGAGTGTATATTGAAGAGTGAAGTTGGTCATTGCAAGGTAGATGAATTGATCCTGCCTGGGTGATATTCATTCAGAACATCTTAAAGATCTGTAAGCAAGTTGGAACAATTATTAAGATGGCTTATGGAGATAATAGACTTGTGGTAGTTTTATTAATAATCACGCCATCATAATCGTTGAGGGTACCATACTAGAAGATTGGATCTTTCGCATAATGATGCGCGTCGCAATTGTAGGGACGATAAAGAAAGTGAAGTAATATATAAAGTAAGTACGGATAAAAAGATGTGTATAATATCTTTCATGATCAGTGACACATCAAATCAAGTTGCAAAATTCTGTTGGTAGACTTATGGAGATATCCAGTTGTAGTCATTTAGGACAATTCAAGAGCTTACATATTACTTAAGATGTGTGTTTCGAATATGAGCGAGAAAGTTTAGAAAGTATTCTTGAGAAAGTTTATAGCAGTATTCTTGACAAATATGGTATATTATTTTGATATATTATTTTTGACAAATATTTATATTTTGACTGTAACTATTTACCACAAAACATTGTGGGCTGACATTAAGGTTATAAGTCAGTTATTTAAACATCACACTATTGACCAGAAGCAGCCATAAATAAGAGCTGTATTAAACAGAAAACGTTTATTGAGTATATTACATTCTGATTGCTATTATTCAGTAAAATCTAGTGATATTTTTTTTAAATATATTTTATTAATATTTTTCTTGTTTTAAGAAATTTATATGAAATAAAATATATGTTGAAAACGTTTAAGTACTTTTTATGTACACTTTATATTTTTGAAGAGTCTCTTCCTTTAATGAGTACACATAGTTAATCATGCTAAACTTTCGTAATTATCACTATTAAGCACACTTCCAATTTTCATAAAATTATCATATATGACTATAATTGCATGTACATTGTGCAATTTACTGAAAAATTCTCTCTGAAGCATGTACGGCACTCTTGCTAAAATAATAAACCATTTATCCTTCCTGCAGTTCAAGTGGAATGGTTGTGTTGTTCGTTGCCAAATTGCTTGAGATACAATAAGCACTGAGGTTTAAAGGATTGTTGAACGTTTATTTTACTAATCTCAATAGCGGCAGCTCGGTTTTTTTTGTAGTTTTTACAAGGTCATGTAGGGTGATGGTGCTGATGGTTACTACGAGGCAATGTGATATTGAAATCCATAAACATAGAAAACTTGATGGAAGGCATGGATTTAGGAATGTATATGGAAAAAGTTGAGTGCAAAACGATGAAAGTCTTGTTGTAATGCAGTTACACTTTAAATTTAATAAAGTTAGGTTAGGTTAGGTTGGAGTGGCAGCCTTGTATGATACAACAGTGGTTAACAACAGTGGTTAAACTTTAGACTAAGAAGACAATCAAAACACAGATAGTGACCATTATAGTCTGTGAATGCACAATGCCGAAAAGGACTCTATTATTTAAGTTAAAACGAACCAATCTGGCAAGTTAAAACAGTTGCTTTCTCTACATTTGAAGGAAAATTCAAATGTATTCAAAGCTATTGTTTTTTGATCACACATTTTAGATTAGATTTTAAATAATTTTTAATTAACTTAATTTTGCTTTTTAATATACTTCGCTCGAATCATAAGCTTAAAGCAAAATACATTTTGAATGAAATAGAAGCTTAAATTGTTAACTTTCGCAGTTCTCTCTTTTTGTATTAAATTATAATTAAATAATTAAACTTTGTAGAACTTAAACAATAAATACGTTGTTTAACCGACTGAAATTAAGTAAATTTAAGGGCAGAACTCACCGAAGAAACGACACTTTAAGCCATAGAAGCCACTAATGCCACAGATAAGAACATTTCACCTGAAATTATATGCCATGACAGGGAAAACCGCAAAATCCTTATTAGTATAATTTTGTATACTGCAGTTAGAACGCAATTCAACTGACCACACTGGCCACAAAAAAAAAAATTAACTCCGGACTAGTCACGAAGAGTGTGCGTGGCACATTGGACATGTAGCCAATGTCTCACGCACATCGCAATATTAACTGAAATGAAAGTGGCTGGAACGGTGTGCTGGGGCACATAATACAGATTATGAAAACGATGACGTGGCTGATTATGAGGATGATTACTCATTGACACATGTTGAAGGTGGAGCAATGCCTCTCAAGTGATGTGGATGTGATGATGTTGCTTTAAGCTGTTAGTATTAAATACTTTAATCTATGATTTTCATTGTTTTATACCAACCACTTACTCCTCGTATGTAATTGATGTCCTGAATTTATTGCTGCGTGTATTGTCAAAGGATTAAGCTTTTGAATTGTGACATGTATTTACCTAAAGGCTTTCCTTATTGTTGAGCTTAAATTTTATTCAAATGAAAGCAAATAAATGCTTGCAGCTATAGATAAAAGTGAATATGTACATACATATGTTGTTATGCATATTTAGTTTTTTTATATCAACTGAAAGTGTGAAATTTACTATATACATGACCCACATTAATTGTTTATAAAGCAAAAATAACGGGTGTAAAATGTTGAGAGATTAATTCATGGGCAAGTACGTATCTAACAATGTAATACCATTCTATGATACTATTAGTTTGATGAATATTTATGTGAGTTTCAATCAAAAGTTCATGCCAATTTATCCTAATGTGTCATCATGTACCATGAGATACATATGATATTATTATTCCATTTTGCATAAATCATTTAAAAAATTTAAATACATTCCCTTTAAGGAAATGAAACGTAAAACCTCTTACAATGTATGTATTTTGGATTTAAGTTCCTTTATGTTCTATATGAAGAGACTTAAAGAATATTCGTTTTAATTTTGATTTTTTATTTAATAAAATTTTAATGATTTTACATAACACAGTTGTTTGACTCATATTATGATTTGTATCCTTAAGAAATACATTTTTAATTAGTATAATAAATTTGGGCTTACACTCCGACAATAGGTGTAAGCAGAGGCATAGAATGTACCTTAAAAAGATTACATACGGCTATAACACAAATTGTTACTTTATTGGTCTCGCAAAAATAACGAAGATAGATTCATTGGATCTCATTAACTTCAGCTGTGAGACTATGGTATAGAATGCAGAGCAGAAGTGTTCAGCTCACCTCCCAGTAACTCTGTGAGCATCACAATCACAAATAGATGTCTCCGTGTAAAAGTGTTTATGTCTCTATTACAGGATGTTCTTTGAACCTAACTACTTCGAAAGTCACAACATAATCCTGTTTAATTTCGTATTTAAAACGCTCTTGACGTATCTCCCAGTATTTTATCTAATATATTGCGTACTTGCTTTGTAGTAAATAAGATTTATAAAAATTGAAGATCCTTTGCCTGATATATGTTTAATATCAAATATATACTTAAAATTTTTTATGCTATATGTCCTTGTCGTTCTCAGCCTATAAAGAATAAGAAACACCAAAGTGCAGATGAACAGCTTACACATGTTCACATGTTGTTGCTTGAATCTTATATTGTATAAATGATGTTCTATATTATCCTTACACAGTCACACTCACACTCACACTCACCTCAAAGCAGAAATTATCCTGTCAACTGTTTAAGTAAAACGTGAGTTGGCATTTTTATTGCTTTAATTGTGAACTTTGCTCGAATTGTTGTTTACTCGTATATCCTGGAAGCCTAAATATGTGCTCAGAGTGCAGTGTTCAGTGTTCAGGGTTCAAGGTTTAGTGTTCATATTTATTCCCTCATGTGGGCTGGATGGAAGAAGAAGTTATTGTCTTTGTTTTCCATCAGTTTCCCTTCCACCTGATTTTGTTTTAAGATTTATGGCATTATGGGCTTATCATCATAATTAGTGTCTTAAGTATGTAAGTAAGTAAGTAACGAGCAACAGCAAAAGTGAGCAACAATTGTTCACTGTTTTTTTTCACCGAATTTTTTTTATTTGGAGCAATAAATCGTTGTTGTCATGGCGTTGTGCAGAATTGTATGACAATTAATTATTACGCTAATTAAGCTATGATGCTCTTACGAATTTTATTGAGTCATAGTTCATGAGGAAATTCGAGTATTTGTTAATTAGTTCCTCTGCCGATGGATTCCAAGATACAAAGAAACATAAATAAATGTGCATCCTTTAATTGAGATTTTTGTTGTCGAATTTATAGAAGCGTATAAGTTATTTAATAAAACTAATGATACAAATCGATATGACAAGTTATAGTAGGCAAAAGTTTATTGTAAAAAACGGGTCCCAAAATCTTCTTAAGCATTTCATTGATTTTTGCATTTGGCTGTTAGGTTTATTAAACTGAATCAATATAGACACCGACACTATTTCATATGAAGTTTGTCTTTTATTTAAGCTAAGTAGAAATTCATCCCATTTATTACTTATCTAACCATCTACAAATACTAAAAACTGATCAGCAATTATAATTTCCTTTGATCAATTTAAATGTAGGGAAACGTTTATGTCTGATACTACCACCACTTAATATTTTTAAAAGAAGATTAAGTTTAATATTTATGACAATAAATTCAAATATAATTTATTGTATATGGGCAAACGTGTTTAGTTTCTTGTTTTAAACAAAATTTATGAAATGTTTAGGTGATAGATATATTTATATGATGAAATAGATTAATATCTTGACAAAAGTGCTTAAAAATAAAAAATTTATGATTTAAAAAGAAATAAAATGGTTAAATATGGACAGAAGTGAATGTCAATCAAACATATATTTAGTTTTAATAGAAAACGTAACGTAGAAAAGTTATACATAAATAATTAAAGATCAGTGATAGGCCAATAGTGTATTCGGAACACGAAAACTTGGCTTATTGTAATACCATTGAAATATTTATCGCACCTTTTCGAGTCATTCTGGTAATTCAATTGACATCCACTAAAAAACTTAACAGTTCAGACTCAGACTAGCCAACTTCTAAGAAAGAAAATTTCATAAAAAGTACATAATCGTTTTTTTAATTCCCTCATCTTTTATAACTAACAATACTTTTTGTTTTTTTAAATTTAAAAATATGATTTTAGAAGATAATTTCTTAGAAAATAATTTCTTAGTGTAATTAACAGCTAGTGTCAGCATTATGTACCTTTAAGGAACCGTGTTATGGATCAAATCGTTACGGATTCTCCCAAGCTATTCTTAGTTACCGGAATAATCTTTAGTTAATCTTTTTATAGTTGAACTCATTTGTATCTTCGCAATGCTGAAGTTCACAAATAGTTTACTTGCCAAAACCACAAATTATTAACACTAGTTTACAAATAAAAACAAAAGTACATATGCACACTTAATTCCATAAGACCCTCAAATCTCGTAAACCTCCCCATTTAATTTTTTTTATTGTTAATTTTCAGTTAACCCCATTTTGTAACTAATTTGTTCTTATTAAGTAAAAAATAAATTTTTTTATGCTTATTCACAACTTAGTAGTTCTTTAATAAAAAAATATGTACATCTATTTTATTAAGATCAATTAAACAAAATCATTGTCATTTTGTTACGATCTAATTTCTAACCAAAATGCTTTTTACCGTAGGCATGGGATTGAGAATGAACTTCTTCTTTTGGTGGGTGAGTGCGAATATATTCTAATGCTTTCAAGATAGCCTCTGGAATTGGTGGTGGTGTTGGAATCCAAGCACCAGTTGGCTGGTAACCATTTTCATCAGCTACATAAGAGATCTGGACATGTTCGCCATTCGGATCAACCCAACCAAATTCACCATGTACATTCCCATGATCATCGCCAGCAGCCTTTGCTACAATGCTATTACTGGTTTCCAAAGCATAATCGAAACCATCCTGACGAACATCTGAGGAAAGAGTTCTGACTTCAGCATGAGCATCATCGCTAGAACTAGCATGCGAAACGGGACGTTTGTATTGCGAAGATCCACCGTAGCTTGATTTTCCAAAGGTGGATAATGCGTTGGATCTATATGAATTAGCACCGTAAGTGAATCCAACGATGGCAAGCAATAGCAACTGTAGATAATTTTGATTAAAGTCTTATTTTAAATAATTTAAATGAAGTCTGTTAACTTACGTATTTAAACATTTTGGTGGTTTTGGATTTTGCTTGGAAAAGTCTTGATTGAAACTGTTGTTCGTGCTGCGTCCAGTTTAGTATTTATACCAAAATTTTTGCTGTCGAATCGTACCATAAAAATGAGCAGCTGTCAAAGAATTGTTTTATTGCTGTTTTCCAAATATGAATCAAAATTTTGGTCCCATTTATTTATGCAACCTAAGAAAAGAAAGACAAGACACGCCGTGAACTTGAAAATCTCCCACGCCTAAAATTTTGCTCTCCATTTATTTCGGTGCTTTCAGCTCTGAATTAAACTCACTTTTTAACATAATTTTTTATAGGTTTTGTATAAATTTTGTTTTTTTGAAATATTTTTCGCACTAATTTTTTATTGTGTCACTAGACCAATAAAATTAAATCAGTGAACTGGTTTACAAAGTGCAAAATTATAATTTTATTCATTTAATAATTTATGATATTTTCGAAGACGGCTCAAATATAGAAATTCAAGTTTAAGGTTAGATAATAAGAACAATAATCCAATTTGAATAACGGTTCCACGTATTATTAATGTTGATTTCTCAATGCAGCGAGAATTTGTGAAATAATGAACGAGTTCTTTATTGATCCGGCAATGCGAAAAAGATTCAATTGCATTTCTTGAATTTTGTATAAAAACGCTACCAAATTTGGCAAATGACATCAGTTACACTTGAGTGTTCTAGTCTAAAACAAACAAAAAATGTTCAAATACGTGAGTAATTTACTGTTTAGGAATAGTTTTTGTGTAATTACTGTGTAAAAAATTTGTTGTGAAGACACATAAAGCTGTTCGGCTTAAGCTAATATACGGTTTATTTCGTTTTCTCAGGTCCTTTTATTCGCCTTGATCGCTTTCGCCGCCGCTGACGATGACGTGCACGCAGTGGTGAAAACCCTTTCATCTGATGTCAGAACTGATGGTTTTGACTATGCTTTGGAGACAAGCAACAGCATTTCACAAAGGGCATCCGGTGATGTACATGGCAATATTCATGGCGACTTCAGCTGGGTTGATCCTCATGGCGAACACGTTCAAGTTGCCTATGTTGCTGATGAGAACGGTTACCAACCATCCGGTCAATGGATCCCAACTCCACCACCAATTCCAGCTGCCATCGTTAAGGCTATTGAATGGATCAATGCTCACCCTTCCAAGGACTACCACTAAACACTTCGAACTGACTGATCTGCCGTGTTCTGCCGTGTGATATTTTCTAAGGAAATCGTTATTTCATGTATATTTTTTTAATAAACTAGAAATAAAGGTATTGCAAAAAATTGTTTAAAGAAGCATATAAATTATTGATTTTTTATTTCAACGAACGATTCTTTTTAACTTATACTTTTGATTCAATAAATAATTGTTTTTTCTGACGTCAAAACATTAGTGAAAGTTTTTGGAAGAATTGAAAGCAGTGTCAACTCTTCGTGGCTTTAAGAAATGGGTGGAACTTTTCGAAAGCACTGTCGCAACATATATTTTTCGAAGAGCAAGCAATGTCTTTACTATATAAGCGTATTGGGCGAACATATAATTACAAACCATAAATTTCAAGTGTGCCCTCACTTACTCCACACTAAGCCAAACTTTATAAGGTATATATAATTGCATTGGTTGGATACTGAATATTTCATTAAAACATAGAAAATTCTATAAAAAAAGTACTTTACATAGAAAATAATTATATTCAATTTAAAACTGTAAAATAGTTTAAAAATTAGAGCAAAGCATTATTTGATGATTGATAGCTTCTATAAAATTTTTTATTAAATCTTAAAGTAAAATGAACTAATAAAGTGGGCTTGTGTATATGTTTGGGTTCAATAAACGTAAAAGAAATGCCGAAAGTCAACACATATATGCCTGACATAGAAACTCTATGTGAGTAGGACAAAAAAAATATTCGTTTTACAAAGAAGTGGGCTTGTAAAAACCTTGAAGAAAACAAGATGAAGTAAAACAGAAAAGCAAATTAACATTTCATTCACACATTTTGCAAACATAACAACAACAACAACAACAACAACAACAACAACAACAATTGAAGTAAGAACAACAACATAAAGAATCCTTAAGCTCATTTGACAATGAGTGTTCTTTTAATGCCCTCTGAAGCTCATGTGTGTTCGTGTATCTGGGTCCCGTGTGTCATTCCATATCCTGTGAATATTCACAAAAATAATTCATAAAACGAAAAGCTCCTCCGTGCGGTGGTTGCCGTGTGAATGTGTGGCCATTTACACGTGTTTTGTGTAATTGCATTTGGGTAAATGCTTTAATTTGTGTTTACATATGTAAAAATGTAAAAACTAATTTCTGTGCTTTCTGTTTTAATTTGGGTAAGAATTTTTTGCTTCTAATTTTGTTATGAAAAATATTTTGCAATTAATTCTTTAAGCAAATGTATATAAATATTTTTTGTTATAAAACATCGAATAGTGTTTGTATCTAACACACACGCAACCATATAGTTAATTTAATATCCGAAGCATTTTAAATTTTTTCTAAATTATTTATGTGAACATAATCTACAATAAAATTGTTAAGTTATTATCTTAAATTTACGAGTAAGTATCGCATTTCCACTTTGAAAAAAGTCTCGAGCAATTTTTTCTATGTTTTGGATTACGCGTTTTAAGCGACGGCATTACATTTTAACGACGCCCAAAGTTATGCTACTATAAATTACATTCTGAACACGTGCGTTGCGCTCAAATTTATTATGAAGTTGTTTAGTGGCAATAACAAGTGAGGCGGGCAGGCAGCCTTTAAACAGCAAATTTTATGGGAGCTGCGAGGATGGAGAATATACGAGTAACTACATTATCTCGAGGAAATATACGTTGCAGTATCGTAAACAGGTAAAGTAGCTCTTGATTAATAACACATATTTTTCGCTAGACACATTAAATCGGTCGAATATCCGGTCTCTGCTCACTCCCACAACTACAGTTTAGAGCGCCGTCATTTGGTCCAATCAAAATTTAATGCATTCAACTGATGACCTTAAATATAAAACGTCATTGCTGGCAATTGTTTTTTTTTTTTTGAATTAATTGAAGCAATTAATATTTATTGTCAATAAATTTATAAAATTTTACATTAAAGCATATGCGCGTATAAGACATTTTAAATAATATAGCAATAGCAATTGAAGCTATATTCATTACTATAAGTATGCTCTGCATTATATTTCAAAAAAAATACTACTGCTTATGAATAAAGACTCCGCTATCAACACGTCATTTTTTTATGTCGTGCTGAGATTTATGTTATATCAATGAATCTACTGATAATCTCCAAAGAACCGGCAGCTTGGTCTTGATATTCTGTGTTCTAGGGACTTTTCTTAGCCACGTCTCTAATCAATATTTGAATAAAAACTGAAAGAATTTACTTTTGGTGTTATAGATCAAGTTCAAGTACTTCCAGCTACTTCGACCAGTGTCCAGTGTTGTCAATAGCCTTTCACTATTGACTTTGTTTCAACCTACTTTTCAGATCATTTTCAACATCAGATTGAAGAAATTGGGCAACAAGTAGGCAACCTGTATGTTCTTTGTACAACTCCGCCAGTAAACCAACGTCATGTTCTGCTTTATTGTTTCCAAAACGCCTTTTTTTAGAATAGAAGTTCTGAAATATACTATATAAAAGAAGTTTTCTATTCATCGGAAATCGGAAGATGTTCACTTATTTATGAAGTTTGCAGCAAACAATTCACTAGCATCACACACTGAACTGAACTATTGTAACCTTATGGATCTGTCATAGTGATTTTGATATTAGAAGAACCTGTAGAAGACAGAATTACAGTAAATTACTCTCTAGTTAAGGCCATTTCGGATGAATTTATACTATCTGATTGTTATCAATGATTCATGTTGTTTATGCTACACTTTTGAAACCGAATATGCAACACATTTCAATGTAAGCACATCAGTTAATATGATGATCGGTGTGATCAGTTTAATGATGATGATGATATCTAACAGAAATCAGAATATTTGTAATGCGTGTATCATAAGAATAGCGAGAATAGTTAATTGCGGTCCACCACTCGGATTTTGTAAGTAAAACACACAAATTTAAATTTTATTCCAAATTTATTTTATCTCCTTCAAAATATGCTTCTTCTGAAGCGATACACATATGCCAACGCTTAACCCAAACTTCCATACACTTTTCGTAGGCCCGTGAAGGTACAGCTTTTAGTTCCTTCAGCGAATTCTCTTTTACCGATTCAATCGACTCAAAACGCTTACCACGAAGGGGCAATTTGAGTTTCGGGAACAGTAAAAAGTCGCACGGATCTAGATCTGGCGAATATGGTGCCTGAGCGATGACAGTAGTGCCGTGTTTGGTCAAAAAATCGCGTACAACAAGAATGTTCCATTGTAAAAATCGCTAAATGAACTTGAGGTAGTCTTACATTAACAGCTGCTGTATCATATGTCAAGAAAGGGTGTACCTACATAACAAATAAAAATTTTTTAAAAAAGGTCCTTAACAAACAACAAAATCCGGATACTTTTTGAGCAGAAGGTATATAATTTCTCTTAAAGTACTTCCCAATATTTCACAATATTTTAACATTGTTTGCATATTCTCTTGCAATTAACCAGTAAGGATACCCTTTATGTCGTAAAATTGTTATGAATTTTCATAAAACTAAATCCAAAAGTATGTTGAACTTTAAAATTTTATTTTAGAAACTTTTATTTTAGAAACTTTTGAAATCAATGAACTATTAAATTTTTTGTGGCAAACGATTCAAGACTAAAAATTTCCTGTCCTTTAATGTTTAAAGTTACTTCCTATCTTCCGAAGCCAAGTTAACATATGCAACTCTTTCAGACTTTGAACTTTTACTTTTCTGGATAATAAAAACTTAAGCAAATAGTAAAATATAACAACAACAACAACAACAACAACAATGCTTATTTAAAACTCATAAAATAAAAACTTTTGCCATAAACGCCAGCCATAACAAATGTCATATTAACGCATTGACAAATGCCACAAGTCGAACAAACAAAAAAGACTGAATAGACAAACAAGCTGATAAACGGAAGTAAAGAATGTGTGAGAAAAAACGAAAAGGAAATGAAAAAGAAACTTTCGAAGTAGAAAAAAGCACATTTCATAAAATTTTTTTCTACCGCCAATTTTTTGCACTCCATAGTTTGCATGCGGGACTACCAGGACTACCAAAGGATTATGAGTTTATGAGATTTGTGAAGAATATATGTATGTGCACGCATACTTCTGGTTCTGGAAGTAAATATTTTCGCTATAGATTTCTACTGCACCGTACTTTATGTTGAAATGACACATTTTTTCTTTACTCTTCCTTTGCCTGATTTATAGCTAACTCAGCTCCATGAAGCGTCTTCACACAAAACTATCTGCAACGAGATTATCTTGTAAGGCTTGTAAGGTGCATTAGCTTAAGTATGGTTGAATTTTGAATTTATTCGATTGCCCTATAAGTGCAGAGGTATGTATTATCTCCCTGCACTCCCAGTGCTTGACTCGATTGCACTCCGCTTGACTACGCCACTTATTTCGTGATGTGCAGTGAATTACGCGCTCTGCATTCAATGGCTTCGACGGCAGTTGTAGTGCTGGCGGTAGTTTAAGTGACAATTTGCTCTTTGAAATGTAATTCATTGAAATTGGATGCACTTTATAAGGACATTGAGGTGAAGATAAATACAAGGAAGTGTGATTTAATATTTGAAATTGTGATTATAGCAAAATTAATAGCGAGTGAAATTGAAATGTTGACATTTAAATCGTTTTCATTTTGACGCATTGAAATATAAAAGAAAAATAACAATCAAAATTGATTTGAAAGGAAATATAAGTCAGCAGTTAAATATTTGAACTATAGAAGCGATATGGCTAAATCGATTCAATTTATATCTTTAATAAAAGTAATTAAAGTAATAAATTAAGTAATAAAAGTATTTAATATTCATAATAATCATTAGCACCCTACACCCTTTTATTGAAACAGCTAATTAAATTAATTTGAATTTAATGTCTTGTTTTCTACTTTGCAGTTATGAAATACGACTATTTGTTGACAGAAAGGCACAAATTATAAATTATCTTACAATTCACAGCCTTCCACATCCAAATTGCTCTCATCCTCTTTCGAAACAATTTCAAAGGAAGTATGAGCACAACGGAATCGCCTGTGTGATAGTTAAAGGACTACGACAATAATTAAATGTTAATGTTGACACAGTTTGACAAATTATATTTATGTAATTATAAATTACATTTGCAT